TGTCTATTTTCATTATCTTCTAAGCACTTTTCAAGTTCATCTTCAGTGTTATTTCATGTGGATTTCTGCAGTTTGATTTGACGCTTGCTTGGCTTTGGTTTGGTAAGGTGGTCTCCAGTTTCGGTTTTCAGTTCCACCAGACTCCTGTTAATCTCATTGGATTTTCTTCTCTTTGAACTTGTGCTTCTTAGAAGCAACATTCTCTTGAATACATTAAGAATACCAAACAGTTTTACAATTTTGTTTTTATTCTCAAGGTAGTCTTCCAAATTGTATTTTTTACCTGCTCTCTGCATATTGTTTCAACACCTCCCCCACCTGTCTCAGTTCCGTGTCTATGAAGGGCCCTTGCTGAACCTGCCTGTGCGGTGGGGCGGTGGCTTCTACCTACCTGCCCTTGGCCCAGTGTTGGTCAGTGTGGGTCTGTTAGAGCCCTTTGTGAGCATCGTGCAGCTCATCCCTGCGGATGAGAGGGGAGTTGGGTACTAGCTGATTTTAATCTTGATTCAGATACTCAGCTGCTTTGGAGTTATCCGGGGGAAGGGGTGTGGATTGGTGCTTGCTGTGTCCCTTTTTTTTTTTTTTTTTTTAAATTAATTAATTTATTTTTGTTATAGATGTTTCTCATTTTTCCCCCACTGATTCCCCCCCCATCCCTGTCCCCACCTTTGTTGTCCATGTCCATTGTTCATGCACACATGCATATAAGTTCTGTGGTTTATCTCTCCCCCCTCACCTCCTCTTCAGGGAATTGTCAGTCTGTACCCCACTTCCACGTCCCTGGGACTACCCCGTTCCTCAGACTGTTATGTTCATTATATTCCACATATAAGTGAGATCATGTGATATTTGTCTTTCTCTGCTTGGCTTGTTTCGCTTAGGATAATCCTTTACGGAGTGGGTGAGCTGGGACAGCCAGTCTCTTACGGAATCAGATTAGCTCTTTCGTCACAGAATTCTGTCTGGCAGGGGCTCCCCTCAGATCAGCCCACTCCTCAATCCTCATCTGTTGCTCCTCTGACCTCTTAGGTGCACAGGTGCCTGGGGCAGTAACAATGACCCCCCCTTCAACCTCACCTTCCTTACCGCTCTGAGGCGTGGAACTAGCTGCAGTTCTAGGTGCTTCCTGCTTTTTCTGGGCCCACCTTCGGGACCTCCCTTTCTCCAAGGTAGGGGTTTTAGTGGCATTCCTCAGAACTCCTGTGCCACCTTCGCTTTCTCGCATCTGGAGGGAATTATATCCCATTTCGTTGTTCTTCAGTTTGGTTTCAGATTATATTGTACGTGGTTTGTAGTCTTCGCTATTCATAGAATTGGTCTGTGGCTATTTCTGTATTAAGACTCTAGTTTCCCTCTCTGTTCATTTCAGTGGGTTTTAGAGAGAGTTGTGCACTCTCTTCCCCCAGGAAAAAGCTCTGTCCAAGTAGAGCCAATCAGAATCTTACTTTTGGGGAGTATGTGGGAAACCAGGCAGGCAGCAGCTGTATGTCCAAAGAAATTCTGATAGTCAGTGGAGCCCCAATTATGACGCAATAGCATTCATAGATCTCTAAGTAGAGAAAGATGTGAAGAGTTGGGGGTGAGGTGGCCAGTTGGTGGAGAGAGGAGTGGGTCTGCAGCAACGGACCCACAAATAGCAGTGGTGTCTTGTTGCTATAGGACACTCGACGAAGAGCCACGAGCCCCAGAATTATTCTAGCCTCAGGCTCGGTCCAGTCACATGCTGGGCCCCAGGCTTGGAGTTCTGTGAGATTCCATCTTGCCTTTTTCCTTGGGCTACTCTAGGTTGGTGTCTGCATCTTAAAACCAATAGAGCCTAGATAAAGGAGATGCTCTTCACTTCATTCTCTGAAATAGGATCTCAGATCATCCGAGTATGGGAAAAGGGGAGTGGGTTGAGGTTTTGAGAAAAAGGAAGAACGTGGACATTGTGAAGATGAGAGAAAAAACTGATGAGTCCAGTTGAGGTTGGAAACCATGAGTTTATAATAAGCACATCATTTGGTGTGGTTGTGGGGTTTTCTGTAGGAACTAGTGTGTAGGAACCAAAAAACTGGCTTGTAGGAAGGGCCCAGCATTTAGCTGGGACGAGGGAGCTGAGCCTGTGGGCTGGACGGGGACTGTGCTCACCATGAGTCTGATCTGAGTGGAGCAGGCAGTGAGGGGGGCTGATGGGGAGGGAAACGGGCACTTGGTGGGGGAGGGCTTGTTGAAACGGAAGACCAGAGGCAGTCGTGGGAGGAAGGGGAACGAGATCCAGGTCAGGAAGTTGTGAAAGCGTGGGATGTTTGATTTTCAGATTTTAGAGGTAGAATAGTTTTGGATTGTGGCAGTGGGGAAGAGGGGTTGATTTGACTGCTGTTGCCTTTGTACCTCTCACCAACTTAGGTAATAATTTAGGTAGCGATACGCATTTATTATCTTGATATTCAGAAGGGTATTCTGCAGATGTAGAACTAGAGAAACAAGTAGTAAGCAGAGTGTTTATTTTTTTAAAATTACTTATAAAAGGTTGTTTACAGAGATGTGGGTTTACATAACTTGGCGACAACATTTTAAAATGTACAGGCTATTTCATATTATTGCACTTACTCTTTTATAATATAAGGCATTTTATTTTACATAAATAAAGGAGTATGTATCTCATACAAGAGGTGTGGTGCCAGTTAAGTCAACCATAACGTTAAATGAGATGTGTGTGGTAGAATAGAAACGCGACTCAACCTACTTCGACTTCCACGGCCTATCCTTGCAACTACGATTACATGTTATAACACATATTTACCCTCATAGCTTATTGTGAATGACTGACCAGTTAAAAAACCAAAACAATGCAAGTTTTAGTAGGACAATACCATTAGTGTTCACTTCAGGAAGTGTGGGAATTTATTAGACTAATTAGAAATACTAGTCATGCCTTGAACACTGAAGACAAATAAATAGCTCTCTATCTTAGGGTCAAAAACATTCAGCTTTTGTTTCTTCTCTTATGTTACAACTGTCAGACAAGGAACCCTTCTGGCAAGACCTGCTGGAAATGGCTGATGACGTGAACACAGTTTGGTGAGCCAGAGGGTCAGGCACTCTCGGGGGGAGACCGTCCCGGTGCTCTGGACGTTCCTGTCTGTCCACAGAGGGCTGTGCATTTCTCAGCACAGCTAGAAGAGCACAGGCAACAAATAGTTTTCAGTGTTGACTCCAAATATTTGCGTGTCAAGAAAACAAACCACAAAACTGACTCCAGAGACTTAAAAACAATCTAGCATGCACCTTGCACTGACTGTCTATAGTATCTTACCTGGAATTGTAGTGAAAAGTAGAAGCTAAATTAATCAGGTCTTTCTAGCTAATTCCTGTACTACGTTTTCTTTTGTAGAACCTGTTAAAAAAAATGAGAAATCCCATCTGAGAGACCCCTCTGGGCAACTCCACAGAGGCTTACTGGGATTAATCACTCAGAAAAATAATGTACAAAGTGATGGCTCAGGTGCCACCATGATCGGGGGCATATAATGACCTGAGTTCTCTCTAAGCCACAGACCTGAGCTATAGGTTAAAGAAGCTCCAACATAAAACCTTAGTGTCATCTTGTGCACAGGTATGTAGTCTCACCTGTATTCCCTGGACTCAGTCAGCTAGTTGGGCCCCCCGAGGATTTGGGTTGTAATTACACAGTAGTGCTCCTTTATCTTGAAATTTTTTCCTCATTGCATTTTGGTAAATGAATCTGATGAAGGTTTGAAATGTGAGGGAGGAAAAGCCAATTCTGCAACAAGGAGCAGCACCTACGAAGTCTCTGCTTCGAAAGGAGAGCAGCCGGGACGAGTTTCATACGCAGCGTGAGTCACAATGGTCTTCTGCAGGGAAACAGTTTTGGCAAAAGGAAGAATTTGCAAAACAGAGAAGCAAAAACTTGAGTCACTGCAGAGGTATGTCATTACACCCAGGTCAGGAAAATTGATGCCATGCTTAGAAACGGTACATTTTTTAAGCTTGTTGGAAAGGGAGGCATAAATAAAAACAAGTCTCTTAAAAAGATTATTTTAAACTCTGGATTGTAAATATAAGGTCTATGTTTATAAACCCAAAGATACTAAAAAGCTAATTGATGTCTAAAAATTTAGTTTAAATTACTGGTCGGAGTGCATCAAATACAGAAATGGAAACCCAGTGACTGTGATATTTTTGCCTGCTTTTGTGTTGACCAGTCTTGAATTCAAGCACTTAGTCAAGACGAGTTCCATACTCGACACAAGGTGCTTTTCGAGCTGGAACCTTCTGCTCATTTGAAGCAGCGAAGTTCATGGCTCTTTAGTACAGTTTATCAGAACTGCATTTCTGTAAAACAGCCTTACGACTTACACTTTTAGATTATGGTCAACACTCCACGGTGACCAGTAACCCACTGCGTTGAATTCTGCATCCGTACATTGCACATTACACTCACTAAAAAATACCACTTTCTGTATTTTGCTTTTCCATTTTTGGATAATTCCTGAGCTCAGCCTAACCATTAGGTCATAAATGATTCTTTTTTTTCTTTTAGGCGTCATTGTTTTCAGGGTAACATACAGACCTACGGCTCTGTTCATTGAAGGTGTCTAAAGCATTATTTACTTAGAAAATTTTATAAAACTAGAGTCCATTTAGTTGTGACATTTGTGTTGCCCTCAGACTGTGTAGGCTCCTCAGTTGTCTGGATTGGGGATGTTGGGAGAGGTGGCCAAAAGGAAGCAGAGGTCTAGCCGAATGTCTGAAATGAAAGGGGGCACCCGGCCACTCCTTGTATCCCCGGCAGTAACAGTGAGCGAAAGGTGGGGGACAGGCACAGGGACAGAACGAACCCTCCTGGCCTGGGTGATCCAGGTGGAAGGCTTCGAGTGGAGCTTCATCTATCAGTAAAATGTGGAGATTTTTATAGTCCTCGCCTACACCAGTGTTTCTCTGCTGTCTCAGGAACCCATCGTTTAAAGAAGTCGTTCTGATTTGCTAAGGTATGAAGGGAACGGAGAAAAGGAGATTCTTGTTAAAAAATGTGTCACCACTCCTGCTTGTTTCATGAAGAATTCCTGTGCTTTCTAATTACTAACTGCACAGGTCCCTCCGGGACAGACTTCATAATATTCCAGGCATCGAAGTGCATAAGCCCGACCAGGGGTTTCCCGTTAATGGCAAGGATTTCATCTCCAGCTTCTATTGTTCCGGCCTGTTCAGCTGCACCACCTGTGAGAGTAAGTACAGAATGACGACTTAGTACTTTCATAGTGTTCACAGTGAAATCCAAGCAAACCAAACACTAGTGAGAAAAATCGCTAAGTGGTATGTTTATAGTTTTACGACAGAGATACACAAAGCATACTCCCATAAAAAGAAATCTGACTTAAAAAATTTCAAATCTGCCCTGGCCGGTTTGGCTCAGCGTTTAGAGTGTCGGCCCTAGGACCAATGAGTCACGGGTTTGATTCTGGTCAAGGGCACGTACCTCAGTTCCGGTTTGTCCCCGACCCTGGTTAGGTCGTATGGAAGGCAACCAGTTGATGTGTCTCTCTCCCTCCCTCCCACTCTATCTGATAAGTAGAAAAATATCCTCAGGGTAAGGAATTAAAAAAAAATTCAAATCTGGCCCGGATGGTGTGGCTCAGTGGTTGAGCATTGACCCATGCACCAAGAGGTCACTGGTTCGATTCCTGGTCAGGGCATGCAGGAGATGGGCAATTGATGTTCTCTCCCTCTCTCTCTCTCCAAAAATCAGTAAAGAAAAATAAAATTCAAATCTGTAACCCTTTCCCTTCCTCCTGAAAAATACAAGCAACTGAGAAGATATTTCAAAAGAATACAAAATAAAGAGAAAGTTGAACGAAGGAAACCAATAGCTAAATCCAAGTGGCCGATAAATGCAGGAAAACAAGTTAACTTCTGATGGTAGCAGATGTTGGTTAAGGGTCCTGAGCGTCCAATGACACGCTCAGTAGTGACTGCGGCTTACCTAATCGATACGTAAAAGCTTGAACACTGGCTGTGGAAGCGCTCAGGGAGAAGGGGCATTGAAAGAAAAATCCCCAAATACAAAAAGTTTTCAGAAATCTTATTAGATCTAAAAAACTGAACAGATACAGCTGTTCCACCCTAAATTTCTGGAAATCCATGTTAATATTTGATATCAATATTCAACAGATTTTAGTTGATTATAAAGACTGATAAAATTACAGCTGGAAGAAAAGTTCAAGGACAGAAACATTTTATGTTAATGATAGAGGGAGATGCTGTCTTGAGTATACAACATGCCCTAAAACTAATTTTTTTTTTTTTTTGATACTTGCCCCTAGCGGGAACCAAACCTGGGAGTCTCTGGTCTGCAGGCCAGCGCTCCAACCACTGAGCCAAACCGGCCAGGGCCCTAATACTAATTTTTAATAAAACTAATATTTAATATACTAACAATATCAGTATTAAATATAATGATACACACATACACACTGATATTATTAATATAATTGTTATAAAACAGTTCTTTCTCTCCAGGAACCTGAAGAGATGTTTAAGAACTGTCCAAGGTCATAAAATGAATGATTCAAGTTCATGAAGAGACTTTCTATCTACCAAATATTCAGTGATACTGCTCCCTCCCATTTTACTTCTTGTAGTCTGGTATTTGCAGTTTTGTTTTTTTTCTTTACTGATTTTATAGAGAGAGAAACATCAATGAGAGAGAACATCAATTGGCTACCTCCTGCATGCCCCCCAATGGGGATTTGGCCCACAACCTGGGCATGTACCCTGACCAGGAATTGAACCAGGACCTCATGGTGCACGGGTTGATGCTCAACCAGTGAGCCACACCGGCCGGGATGCAGTTTTAAGTGAACATGATCTTGGTTGATGCTAAGTACCCCTGACTGGCCATTCCAGGGGCATCACTTAGCTTGGCATGTTCACATCAATAGCAGCTAATGTTAATTAAGAACGCGGAGTTAGGGGCAGACCCTAGAGCCAGACTGCCTGGGCTCACACCTGGTTCTGCCACTTGCATCAGTGACTTCGGGTGCTTGCATCCGTTGCCCGTGGCCCAGTCTCTTCTTTCGTAAAATGGGGATAATAATAGAACCTGTGTGATGGGATTGTCATGTGGATGACAAGAATTACTATGCATAACCACTCACAACATGGCCAACGCGTTAACCCTATATGTCATAAACAAAAAGCATTCAAAATAGTTTTGATTTTTCTAAACGAATTTGGTTTCCAAATGGAAGGCTCCGAGATACAGAGAAAGAAAATAGGTGATAGATGGACTGTGGATTGTGTTTTCTGAGACCATACCTTTGTACACTCTTTTAATGAACAGGGGCCCATCCCCAGACATGGATGATTTTCCTCCATCCAGGCTTAACCCCAGCCCGGCCGAGGTCTTCAGTACTTCAACGCACAGAGCATCATGCGCAGCTATGCTTCTCCCTGCAGGAAAGATGGAAATGACAGACACTCACTACATCCTGTCCAGTCCCTCCAAATGCACACTCGAGTCCCATCTACCCTGAAGTGCTGATGACAGTATTCGAGACCAGCGGTAGGGTTGGTCTCTGCTGGCTGTGTTCCTGTAGTAACTGGGCATGAAACCAAACTGCTCTGGTCCAGCCTCATACTGTTGGTGCACATCTCAGTGAGACCGAAGTCACTCTTGGGGGATCAGCCTGTTCGGCAGAAGCAGTTCCAAGTCAGTCCGCAGTGGCTTACTGGGGAGCCTTGTATGAGCGTGCAGGCGCACAGAAAACGTGTTCCTGACCTCCTTTCTGTAAGCTCTACTTGGTCGATTAAAGCCTTTGTCCTTGAACACTGTTGCCCCCTCATTTCCTTCTGTTCTTCTAAAGCAGGAAAATCCCTGACGTCCTGGACAGATCCCAGCCTGGTGCTCCTCCTCCAACCTCGATTCCCCTGCACAAGGGGCTCTCGGTTTACCTACCAGCCACTTCGCCCCCAACAGGAGGAAATGCGAAAGGGCTTCCTTCTTAAGACACTTAGAGAAGCTGTCAAATAGTCATTTTAAATCTGCAACAGAATGGCTTTCACTACTGGGTCTTTCTAAAATAACTTACGTGTAACGTTGCTTTTGCAAGAAGCATCCACAAACACTAGACTTCACTACATTTAATGTCTCTGACCCAGATGATAAGATGATAAGATTATTTTCCTTTGTGCTCAGCTACAGTCTATGCTGCTCACACCCTGCTGGCTGGTGAGCTGGTGTCTTACCCATTCCAGGCTCCAGGGGTATGGTCTTCTTGGACAGCGAGCCCTTCCCGTTGGTTGTGGGTGGCTCCCGCCTGGTGGAGGGCCTGGACTGGTCATTTCCTTTCTTGATGACCACGAGGACATCTTTGTGCAGCTGTGCCTGGTGCAGAACCTTCAGGACATCCCCATGGGCTAAGCCAGCCAGTGAGGCGCCATTGACTGACAGAAGGAAATCCCCTCGGTTCATAGTCCCTTCTTGAGAAGCAGCCCCCTGAGAAAATACCCTGTGGACCTGGGACAAGGACAGGACAAAGCCAAATTTATTTATTACCTCCAGTAAAAGGAGCTGCAAATCTTTAGTAAAGGAACCTTCTAATGGCAAGTTTTCCAAATCATGCAAACACTTGGTTTATATCAAAAACATATTCAAGCCCTGGCCAGTTTGGCTAAGCGGTTAGAGAGTCGGCCTGCGGTCCAGAGAGACCTGGGTTCAGTTCCCACTAAGGGCATGTACCTTGGTCGCAGTTTATCCCCGGCTCCAGTTGGTCGTGCGGGTGGCAGCCACTCGATGTGTCCCTTTCACGTCGATGTTTCTCTCTCTCTCTCTCCCCCTCCTACTCTACCTGAACAAAAAATGGAAAATGTCCTCGGGTGAGGATAAAAAACAAAAAACACATTCAGCGTGAGGAGTGGATCAGGCGCATCACTGTCAGCACCTGAGTGCGTTATCACTCACGTGCCTGACACACGGGCACGCAGCCTACAAAGAGGAACAGGACAGACCCTGTGCAGTGAAGGTGGCCTCCCTGATGCTCTCTCAGGCCTTCAGCGATACAAGATCTGAAGGTGGTGGTTCCGCTCTGGCCGGTGTGGCTCAGTGGCTGAGCACTGACCCAGGCACCAAGAGGTCACAGGTTCGATTCCTGGCCAGGACACATGCCCAGGCTGTGGGCCCGATCCCCAGTGGGGGCATGCGGGAGGCGTCCAGTCAATGTTCTCTCTCATCGATGTTTCTTTCTCTCTCTCCCTTTCACTCCTTTCTCTCTCAAATCAATAAAGGAAAATTAAAATAAAATAAAATAAAGGTGGTTGTTTCTGAGTAAGAATTTCATAAGCAAAGGCAGGTTTGGTCAGTGGATTCTAATGTGTTTGTAAACAAACAAGGCGCCTGGGTGAAGATGAGGGTGTAGGTAACTGCTCCACGTACCGGCACAGACAGGGAGCTGCGTGGAAAGGGGTCGCTTGCCCACTTCTGTTGTAGCGGGAACCAGTGCCAGCGGCCTCTGAACTCACTGGCATGAGTTTGCCCTGATCGAACTCCCAGCTGCTTCAGCAGTGACCCCCGAGCGCCACCACATCGTCACTCACCACGATCGGTTTGGGCTCCACGTCTGTCCCTCCTGCCACGCTGAATCCCAGACCCAAGCCTTCTTTTTTAGTCAAGACTATGAAGCAGACTTCTTTATTCTAGTGAAAAGAAAGAGAAACAAAGAAAAAGGTGTATTCCCTGTGCCACGAGCAGTGAGGACTGATGAGCCCTCTGTAGCACTGCAGTTTGTCACCGGGACACCCCGAGCTTTCCCAGAGTTTGAACTGGAGGGGCCACAGCTGCCCATGCCACGCTCTGGGGTGGGTCCATCCTGCAGTTACAGAGCCACAGGAAGGTGGGTACGAACCAGGACCGGGACGGGACACTTCAGAAACCAGTCTAGGCATGACTGCGTCCGCCCAAACTTGATCATGAAGGGAATTCTTTATTCTCGTTTCGTCTACAGTTTTGCACAGCAGCAGAGGGAGACAGGGCCAAGCACAGGGAGAGAGCATGTTGAGGCCGCGTGTTCTGTGCCCTCCACCCCCACGTTCAGGTCACTGGGTCGCATGCAGTCGGAGAACTAGTAAGTACAGTACTCCTAAAATCCAGTGTTTGAAAACATACATCAAAACCGTCAACTCCTGTATTGAACATTCTCAGCAGTGTCGTAAGGTTAAGTGTAACAGAAGACTGCCTTGTGTTTCAAGCATTAATCAAAAGATAACCTTGATAAAAGAGTTTAAAATAAAAAATGAGCTGGCTAATTATACTGAGTTTTGACTTCCACCCACACAGTAGAGGTGATTCACAACATTTTAAAGATTTACCTTGCCAGGTTTCCCATAAAGTGATTTATAATCTATCAATTCAAGATGTTCTCAAACATGGCAGTAGAAAAAGACTCTAATAATAACCTTTAAGGGTTGCTTTGACGAGAAAAAAGGAACATGTTGGAAGAGAAAACCACCTCTGTATTGTGCTGGGGGCGGAACCCAATATTTGAAGTGTTTGGTTCTATTAGTAAGTCCTAAGGTCCAATCTTACCATTTTACATTTCTCTAAAGAAGTTCATGCAAACTAGGGCTCCACGTGCTGACAGCAGAATGTCCCGCAGAACTTCCGGGGGTTGGGATTTTGACTTCATGGGTCGGTTCGACCGTGTGCTCAGACGCCGTTCAGTGGAGGGGAGATGCTGTCGAGGCGGTCAGCACAAAGGGGAGCCTGTGGTCTGGCGCACGAGGTAGCCCTTGATGCTGACGTGGGACTGCTGCTACTTAAATGCTCTACTGGAGCAGAGACAGTGCTTGAAAACGGGACTCCCCTGTATCCTAGGACATGCTATCACCAAAGTTGTAATATATTCAAATTATTTCCAGTTGTGTTTGAGAAGACCCACGTGCTGCAAGCAGATGGAGCGTCAGGCCAGGCGTCGCCTCTGAGAAGCTTAGCACAGCATCAGGAAAGCTAGGTCCAGCCTCGGGGGCTCCCCGGGTTTAGTCCCATAGAAACCAGAAGCCAGGGCTTGTCTTCTGTCTCTAGTCTCACAGCGCCCCAGAAGCCACAGAAGACCGTCTGTGCAGTTCCCTTCAGCACCCACAAACCACACTCATTGGGGAAAAGTATGGCAGGAAACTCCTGGCCTGAAGATGGCAGAGCAAGGATGCCTCTGCCCGCCGCCGCTCTGAAACCAACCGAAGACGGCTGCACTGAGGACGGTGAGCCAGGCGCTCAGCACCGGCCACAGTGCCCGCCTGCCCACCCGCCGCCGCTCTGAAACCAACCGAAGACGGCTGCACTGAGGACGGTGAGCCACGCGCTCAGCACCGGCCACAGTGCCTGTCCGCCCGCCGCTGCTCTGAAACCAACTGAAGACGGCTGCATTGAGGACGGTGAGCCACGCGCTCAGCACCGGCCACCGTGCCCGCCTGCCGCTGCTCTGAAACCAACCGAAGACGGCTGCATTGAGGACGGTGAGCCACGCGCTCAGCACCGGCCACAGTGCCTGCCTGCCGCTGCTCTGAAACCAACCGAAGACGGCTGCATTCTGAGGATGGTGAGCCACGTGCTCAGCACCGGCCACAGTGCCTGCCCGCCGCTCTGGAACCAACCGAAGATGGCTGCATTGAGGACGGTGAGCCACGCGCTCAGCACCGGCCACAGTGCCTGCCCGCCTGCCTGCCCGCTGAGCGGTGAACGCGGAGCCAGCGGGGTGCGGAGGCCCCAGAAGACGAGCCCGGGTGGCACTTGGCACCCTGTCCCTGAAGATGTCCATCTCTTTTGTGACCTATTACATTTGGTTTTCTCCTTTACCCTTCTGTCTAACACTCAAATGTCTGGAGTCCAGGTGGCCCTGGGCAAAGCGTGATCCTACCGGACCACTTGACCGGAAATCCCGCGAGAGACTTTTCACATGCAGAATGCTTGCTTACTGTAACAAGTTGGAGAAGAGAGATGACGGAATAGCCCCTTTGACTGACCGTGAAAGACGCTAGAGGCCTCCCGGTGTTTCTTGACCGCACAGACCCAAACCAGTGGGCGGAGAGCCAGGAGGGGAAGCTCAAGGCAACTGGTCTGGATTCCAGCCGCCTCCTCCCCCTCCTGGCCCACTCATTCGATGCAACATCGCAGCCCTTCTAGTACTAGAATTTTGGATGATACCAATGACCCAGGTACATTACCACTCAAGGGAAATTGCTTATATTTGCTTTTTTCTCTAAATAGAAAATTTTCATTTCTTAGGGTTCCAATCTTTATGGATAGTCCCTGAGACATTAATGTTGCATGTCAGAGAAGTATTCTAGACAGGAACCCATGTTTTTGTTGTTGTTAATGTAACATCCAGTATATGAAAAGACTTTATTTGTAATGACTTGTTAGCTGCTTTGTCTGGAACCCCAGGCTTCAGAAGCTCCTACACGTGGGGTCAGGGCAGGGCCACAGAGACATTAACTCATTTCCCCAGCAGGTGGCGCCCTTGACAGGCGGTTTATGTCCACCTAGGCGGACAGAGGTACTTGGCTGGGGTTCCCCAGCAGTTCCAAGATGCCTAGGTCTGTTTTGAGGACTCTGCAGACAAACTCCAAATTTGGGGGTGGGGTGGGGAGGTCAGTAACCAGTCACCCCTGGGGAATGAAATCAGCAGCTGCACCAATCGCACCTGAAAATACAAGACATGGTCTAGCTTCTAAAGCGATCTGCAGGTCCCTGCGACTGAGCCGAGCTCACAGCAGGAGAGCTGAAGAGCGGCTCCCGTCCTGCAGCTCGGGACATGCCTGGGCACTGGTGCGGCAGCAGCGTCCTGCCCGTGTCCTCTGCGTCTCTCACCTCTGATTGTGCTTTTGCTTCCCGCATGAGAGTTAGGACGGTCGAGTCCGACCTCACCGATGACAAAACAGACTGTAATCTCTGCTGGTCCCCCGCTGAGACAAGAAGTTGATCCAAACTACATAATACAAACACATGAGAAGAACATTAAAGAAAAAAGCAATTTCTTCAATTTGTAAGGACACATTTAAAACGATCTCCTTTCGACTATACTGTGCATATTTCCAGTCGAGAGGACTGGATTCAGAGATTCTCTAAGATGTTAGGAGACCAATGGGGTAATTTAGCAAAATTTGATGTACTTAAAAATAGGCAGTATATAGGCTCAAGTGAAATGTTTTACTGTGTCAGAGGTTTCCTGTTTAACTGCAGTCACCCTCAGAGGTCCTGATCCTTCTCTGAGGTGCAGCTCCCAGCCCACCAAGCTCCATGTCCTACGGAAGCCTCTCCCTATCGCAACATTGTGGCAAACAGTTTCCCCCGCAGGCGCTGGATTGTTCCAGTAACCGCATTAAAAAGAAGGGGGTGGTGGTGGTTAAATGTGAGGTGGGATCCAGGGCTGGATACTGGAACAGGAAAAGGACGTTTGTGGAACTTAGTGATGTCTGAGTAAAGCCTGTAGTTTAGTGAATAGTGTCGTTCCAATGTTAACTTCTTTTGATCAGTGGACGGTGGTAACAAGATGCTAACATTAGGAAGAGCTGGGTGAGGGGTACATGGAAACTCGCTTTATTATCTTTGCAAGTTTTTCGAATCTAAAACTAGTGCATAATAAAAAAAAGTTTCTTTAAATAAAAGGGGTAAGGGCAGATACTTACTTAACGGACCAGCTTTTTCTGGAAGGCAGATCCTGGGTGGTTTCACTCCCATCATTGGCTGAACTGGGTGCCCCAGGCTCACTGGCCTTGGGCCTGCTTCCTGCTGGACAGGCCCTGTCCCCCGCCGTCACAGGGTACAGAAGGGCAGTGGACCCATTGAGGGCCCCGGCAGGGGAGCCGAGCGACCGCCGGGGGACGATCTCCAGCTCTGTTTTGAAGAGCATGGCCGTGGGCTCTGCAGAGAAATCCTCGCTGCACAGCTTGTCGAGGTCGGGCATACTCAAGGCCCTCAGCTCCTGGAGCTTAGAGCGGGATAAAGGTGAGGGCTGGGTGTGGCGCACCGAGGACTTGTTCCTCTTGGTGGGCGAGGCCGGGGTCACTGTTGGGGTGGGAATTCCGGAAGGACCGAGTGATTTCTTTGGGTCCGGATCAGTGCCCTTGTTACTGGCCTCCCGCAGAGTCTGCCGGGAGATTGTCAGCGTCACGCTGGATGGGGACTTGGTCATCTGGGGGATGAGAGTGCTGGCTTCACTTTGGCTTTCGCTGCAGGAACTCAGGCTGCGTCTCAGTGACCTCGCTGTCGGGTCACTGGGGTGGCTGAGGCTCCCTGAAACCACGCTGCCAGATGACCGTCTCCCAATGGGAGGCTTGGAGCTTGCAGACAGAAAAGGGGAAGCCCCGGACTTGGCCACGGGCCGGTCAGAATTGGCCAGGTTCTCGAAGGACTTGATCCTCTGCTTCACAGAGAAAAATGAGGTAGATTCATGGGGCCAGTTCTGTTCATAGTAGTAGTGCCTTCTGGTGACTCTGATTTTGTCTGTGACGAGGCCGCTCGTGTCCTGCACGGAAAGGACACCCCCCTCGTCGGTGGTGGGAAGGTTCCTGGCCGTCTCCAGCAGGGGCTTCACACTGCAGACGGCCTGTCCGGCAGCCAGGCCCAGAGCACTGCCTCTGCACACCCAGCTTGTCCCGGGGACCTGGCTGTCCCGAGGGGAGGGCCCTTCCCGTCCAAAATGGCTGGAGAACTGGGCTGGCATGGAGTAGGTCCTGGTTGCCGGCCTTGGCATGAAATAGGGGTGGTCGTCCAGCGCTGGGGCCACCGGGGTGCCGTTCTTGGGCGTCCCCGGGGAGTCTGACACCTGGCCCGACTTGCCCGGGGAGGGGCCTGCCTGTTTGGCAGGCAGCTGTGGCGGGGAGACCAGTCTGGCCACGCTGAAAGGGGGCTGCACGTCCTGCTCCACCTGGGAGGCACAGCTGGCGAGCGCGGCTGGGTGGCTCGGGGACGAGTCTGCTGCCTGGTGACAGAGTCTGATTCCACTCTTCTGACAGCTGCTCTGGGCCAGGAGCCCTCCCTGCCTGTCACTTCTGGCTGGCATGTCACCACCTGCATTCTTTGGCGTTCTTTCAGAAGAAATCTCTACTATTCTCAGCGGGTTTGTTCTTTCTGGGGGATCACCAGCAATTGTTTTGCTTCCTTTGTCACCAGTCACCCCAGGCTGGGCCGCTGCTGGTCCTGCGAGCTGCTGGCCCTGCCCAGGCAGGGGGGGCTCCCGCCGGGGCGCTGCTGTGGACACACTGCCCCTCGGCGTCGTGGGACTGGCTCCCGGGGCCGCCGGGCTCTCTGGCCCGCACCTGTGAGCTCCGGGGGCGGCCGGGCAGCCTCGCTCGAGCTCCGGATGGACAGACGTGTGGAGCCTACTGCCTGCACCCTGCTCGGGAAGGGCCTTGGGGGAGGTCAGGGGCGAAATGAGAGGTCTGATGCTCGTGTCGGACGCCGACAGCCTCAGGGACCCCGAGGCCGCAGGGGGCGGCTTGACGGTGGCTGTGGCATGTTTGTTGGGTTCCTCGTGGCCAGCTACCTGGGACTGGTGTGCTGCCTTGGAGAGCACCCTGTGGGACGTCTGCGGTGACACCAGGGGCTTCCTGGGGTCTGCCCCGCTGGCCTTGGCCGTGTGAGCCCCAGGGGCCTCGGAACTGCCTTTGCTTTTGCTTTTGCTGCTCAGTTTCTTCAGCTTCGGACCGGATCTGGATTTCGGACAGTTGTTTAAAAGGGTTTCCACTGGGCTTTTTTTAGGTGGGTCTTTATTTTCAAGATTCAGTTCCAGTGGAGGGGGGCTGCTCGGCACCGCAGCCCCCTTTCTGTGGCCGGTGCTTGGCACCTGACCACCGGATTCAGGCCCCCTGGCTGGCCTCACAGACTGCGCCTTCTCGGGTCTGCTCTGGGGGTGCACGCCCTGGTTACTCCTGTTGATTTCCTTAAACCAGGCCATGATGGGCCTCCTGGAGACCGCTTTGGGCTTCTGCAGCGGGTCCCCCAGGTCTCGGCTGTCAGAGCTGTGCGGGTGTGCCGAGACGCGTTCTCCATTCTTGGGGACACCCACGCCGGCGCAGGACTGGCTTTCAGCTGCGCTCACACTGGCTTCTTGTTCCTTCTCTGGGGTGTCACCGTCCAGATCGTGTCCCAGACCATTCACCATGTTGGGAGAGCTGAGCGCGGCCGGGAGGCCGTGGGAGGGCCGGGCGACCTCAGAGGGCTGGCTCTCCACGGCAGGGCTGGGGCTGGGGCTGGGGCTGGGGCTGGGGCTGGGGGCGTCCCCTGGCGCCTCCCCGCTCGCGGGTCTGCGGTCCGCGCGAGGCTCCGGCCCCTGCGCGCTCACGGCCGCGAGGGGAGGCGGCTGGGGGTCCGGGGCGGGAGGGCTCGAGGCTCCCGGCCCGCAGGGGGCGCCCTGGCGTGGACGCCCCCCGGCCTCGCCCGGGGCGCTGGGCCGCGCTCTGCCCCGAGCCCGGCTGGGGGCCGCCTGAGCAGCACCCGGGCAGCCGCCTGGGGAGCAGATTTCAACCTGCTCCTCCTCAGACTCCGCGCTGTCCTCCCTGCGGGAAGGCCCGCGGGAGCCGGCAGGGGACCGGCTGTCCCCAGAGCGAGCCCGCGGGGCTTCAGGGAGCGACTCGGGGTCAGAGGACGAGTCCTCGGCGTCGCCGTACATGGACGACAGGGACGGCTCTGTGCTGTCGCCCAGGCCCGACAGCGACGCGCTGTCCTCCTGAAAACCGCTCAGGTTTCTCGAGTAGTTGCTCAGAAAGTGTTTGTTCACAGTGAAATGCTTGTCGGGGTTGATGGAACCCAGGACGGAGGGCTGGGCCGCCCACTGCGGGGCTGGGGGTGCGGGTGCGCCCGCCCTCCGCGGGCTGGGGGGCTGGTCCCCGCCGCCCTGGCGCCCTCTGCCCGGAGGTGTCCCCTCAGCCGCCACCAGCTCCTGCAGGGCCCCACCGCCGCCAGCCCCAGGGCCCCCCCCCTCCGCGAGGCTGCAGTGCGCCGAGGCCTGGTCAGGGGTCGGCCCCGAGGGGCTGGCCTGCGGCGCCCTCGCGGGCCCGGAGCCTGTCCCCTGGAGCAGGGAGGACTCCTGGGGGTGCGCGGCTGCGAGGACTCCTGTTGCGGGGACTTTGCTCTGGTCGCCCGGGACGCCCTGTCTCTCCTCCTGGCCCACGTGCAGGTCTGGTGACAGGGCGGCGCTGGCCGGAGCTGCCCCATCGGCCCCGGATCCTGCTTCTCTGGGCGAAGCTGCCTTCCAGGTGGTGAAGTCAGGGTGAGCCGCTGCCATCTTCCCTGGGGGTGTGCTGGGGTCCCCGGCGAGGCTGAGGTGGCATCTGTCCTCAGACTTGGAGACCCTGGGTGACAAGGCCTCTCTGGGGTCCCCAGACTGCCTCACATGTCCTGTGTCTGCTGAGGTCTGGCCGGGGTCAGGGTGAGCGGCCCCCTTCTGCTCTGGGGAGGGGACGCGGTCTGGGGAGCCGTCCAGTCCTGTGTCCAGAATGGAAACAAAGGCGGGGTGTAGGGGAGATAAAGGGGAAAACATGAGAAAACAATGAAATTCAAGGAAAACTATAAACAGTCTCCGTCTTTTTTTGTCTTTCTCAGAAACACTCCACAGCCTACACGGAGCCTCTGGCCTGGGTGCAGGGCGCACGTCTAACACCAGCACCCGGTTGCCACGCTGGGCGCTCGGGCTGGCCGCTGGGCGGACCTGTGCTCTGCCCTCCCTCTCCTTCGCTCACTCTAAGGATGGGGCTCGCCAGGCCCCCCTTGGGCTTCTCTGCACCACGGGCTGTGTGACGGCAGCAGCCAGGCTGTGTGGGGCCCAGTGTGTTCCGAAGCTTCTGTGGACGGCGGAGCCCCCCCCCTGCTCTATCCCAGCATCTGGCGGACCGTGTGCGCAGCAGACAGTCCACGCGCCGGACTCGGGCTCACTGCCTAGCGCAGCGGTGAGGCCGACTTGGGAGAACACCAGGGTGCCCGGCTACACGGAGCTTTCGCTGTGTCCCGACCAAGCTCAGAGAACTGGAGGACAGGCCGTCCCTGGGAGCTGTGATGAGGGGGGGGGGGCCGAGGGGCTCTGGGGGAGAGCTGGGCCCGTGATGAGGGTGAGGCCGACTTGGGAGAACACCAGGATGCCCGGCTACACGGAGCTTTCGCTGTGTCCCGACCAAGCTCAGAGAACTGGAGGACAGGCCGTCCCTGGGAGCTGTGACGAGGGGGGGGGGCTGAGGGGCTCTGGGGGAGGGCTGGGCCCGTGATGAGGGTGAGGAAGGACACCGAGCGACAGCAGGGAAGCAGGAAGCAGCAAGAGTGTTCAGAGGTGCAGGGGTGACTTGTGCCAGGGGCGGGGGAGCCAGGCCCCCATGGCACGCCCGGGAGCTGCCCTCCTCCTGAGCCTCACACGGGCTGACCTGTCCGCCTCTGGCACGACATCTCATGGGGGGCGGGCATAAACAACATTAGATTCGCTGCCTTCTCAGGGACCACAGGTCTGAGGCGGCGTGAAAACTGTCACCATGGAAGTTCTGGCTCTGACAAGTGTGGCCCCAGATGTTCCAGTCACCCCATGTTTTCCACACAGATCACCTCGCCTGGCTTTTCCCTCCTGAAGTTCCACGTCACTAACGAAGAACTAATTGTGAGAACTCAGCATCGTGCTGAGAGTGCTTCATGCACATACTGAGCTGAGCCCCGAAACCGGCCCTCTGTGTAGCGAGCACCTGGCAACACCAGCTTGGCTCAGACCCCCCTGGAGACCCTCCGAAACTTCCCCAGGCCCCGGGAAAGCCAGGGTGAGCCGAGATTCACACCCCAGCTCCTGCTTGGCCTCCCCGAACTCCCTCCGTGACCCTCCTGCTTCTGCCGGTGCCAATGAGGAGGAAAAGGAGCAACGAGACAGAAGAGGGGATAAAGGCGGTTTTTCAGGTTCGGATTCATTCGCTGAACAAACCCTACATTTTTGTTAGCAATTTTTCTGTATTGCAAAGTGTGTAACTTAAAAGGGGTTTTATTAGAGGGAGATACATATCACAGGGGCCTGTCCTGATGTCACCTCTGAAAATAATCCTTCCCTTGGAAACTGTCTCACATGCCCAGTAATGGGAAGAGGGTTCACTCAGTCACGGCACCTCGAGAGGCAGGAGGCCCAGCAGCCTTTACAAATGACGCCGCAGGTGAGGAGGACACGGAGGTACCGGCAGAGCTTCCTAACGAGAGCAGGTTCCCGGTGTGCGGCTACTGGTCACCGGGGCTCAGCACGCCTGTCGGGGCCTGGCAGCACCCTGTCACCCGCATCTGATTTCACATAAACAGAGTGTCGAGGTTGCGGGCAGTCCCTGTTTTCATCTCGGTCGCTCTTGCAGTGCATGTCACAGAACAGGCGAGGAGCGACGAGCGAGAGGACACACGTGGGGCGTGGGAAAGGAACCGAGTCAGGCACGGTGATCCAGCTACGGGGTTCGAGGTGGGCAGCTTCGAAATGTCACTAATCTGTGTAAGAGGTTTCCCCCCTTTAAGTTCTCCACTTGGAACGATCTTTAGGGGAACGTCTCCCCTCCCCTCCAGAAGCATAATGAATGATAAAATAATCTTACCCATCCTGGGCTGTTGCCCCTGGTCGGGTTCCGCTTCGGGCAGGCTGTCTGGGAGGCGACCAGCACCTGGGTGGGGCCCATGCCCGATGGTCAGCTTCCCTAGAGAGTCCTGGCACAAGGATCACAACAGCAAGTCACTGTCAGTACCTTTCCGGTCGTCTGCATCCCAAGACATTGTATACAGAGGAGAGCGGGTTTGGGGAAATTCTGAAAGCCCTGGGCAGGGAGCCCCGAGACCCAGACACGGGGTTTAAAGTCCACGGGAAACTGCAAGGTCTGGTCCCTCTTCCTAAACCTCAGGGTTCGCAATGTTCAGATGTGGGTGATCAGGGAAATGCAAATCAAAACCGAAGAAAGATACACCCCATACCCGTTAGCGTGGCTATAATAAGGCCATAATAAAAATCAGAAGTAGAGCCCTGGCTGGTAGCTCAGTTGGTTAGAGCATTGTCCCTACACACCAAGTTTTCAGGTTTGATCCCCTGTCAGGGCACATACAAGACCAACCAGGGAATGCATAAATAAGTGGAACAACAAATTGATGTCTCTCTCTCTCAGAAAAACCAAAAAACAAAAAAACACCACACACCAGCAAACAAGTGGTGAGGAGATGGAATTGGAACTTCGTACACTGTTGGGGGGAATGTAAGTTGGTGCAGCCACTTTGGAGTGTGGAAGTTCCTAAAATAAAATAGAAGTATCATAGGACCCAGCGACCCCACTTCTGGATATATATACCCCAAGTCTGAAAGCAGGGTCTTGATATTGGTACACCCATGTTCATAGAAGGTATTATTCACATTTGCTAATATGTAGAAGCTACTGAAGTGTCCATCAGTAGCTGAGCTGATAAGACAAATGTGCTATATACATAAGATGGAATGTTACCCCCAAAAGGAAAGGACTTCTGACACCTGCTACAACATGCGTGAGCTCTGAGGACAGTATGCTAAGTCACAGAATAAGCCGGTCACAAAAAGACAAGTACTGCATGATCCCACTTACACGAGGTGCCTAGAGGAGTCAGAATCAGACAGAAAGCAGATCGGTGTTTTCAGGGACTTAGGGAGGGGCGTTGGGAAGTTATAGTTTAATGGGCGTGATTTCCATCTTACACGATGAAGCGTTCTGGAGATGGGTGGTGGGGATGGATCAATAACATGACTATTAATATCACTGAACTGTACACTTAAAAATGGTTATGATGCCCTGGATGGTTTTGCCCAGCAGTTAGAGCGTCGGCCTGTGGTCCAGAGAGACCCGGGTTCGGTTCCCGCTAAGGGCACGTGCCTCGGTTGCAGTTTGTCCCCGGCCCTGGTTGGGTCGTGCGGGTGGCAGCCACTCGATGTGTCCCTTTCACATCGATGTTTCTCTCTCTCCCTCCCACTCTATCCGAACAAAAAATGGAAAAAAATGTCCTCGGGTGAGGATAAAAAAAAAAAAAAATGGTTATGATGGTAAACTATGTTATGTGTATTTTACCACAATTTTTAAAAATTTGGAAAAAAATAGGGATGAGAAGACTTGACCTAACTCATAGGATTTTTAATAAAAGATGATTAAACGAGATAACAGTTATAAAAACAGCATGCATCATACAAAAGGCTATATAGATGGAAGATTTATTGTTTTTATATCACATAGTGATATCCAAGACTGTAAACTCAGCTCCTCGGCCTGGTAGTCAGGGAGGGACTGCCCTTGGAGGGCTAGAACCCAAGACCTTCTGTGTGGGCAGAGGCCTTAACCCCTGAGCCGGACCAGCCAGGGCGTGTCCTCTCGATTTTAAAAAGTATTACATAAAAACAGAAGACAACCTATTTACCAAAAGAGAAAGGTTGTTTTTTTTGGCTTCTAATATTTGAGAGTCAAGACTTTATTTTCTTCCTCATGCATAAATAAAATCAAATGTTTGAACTAATATTTTTAAGACAAAAATTAAACTTTGGTATAAAAGTTTTAAATGTTGTTGTTCAAAGTTAATATTGAGAGTACTAATTCACAATTGCAAAAGCCCTTACTTTAATAGATACAAATTTTACGAATAAAAATGCCCATTTGGCTTTATATAGTTATCCAGAACTTGTCAATGATACTTTTAAAAGAAAAGGTTTACCCAGTAGCTGAACGTTATAGTTAAAAACAAACATGCTAGTTGGAGATAATAATTTTTTAGGAGGAGGCAAAAAAAAAAAAAAAGTGCATTTCTACTTTTTCTTTTTTATCCTCACCTGAGGACATTTTTTTTTTTGTTCAGGTAGAGCGGGAGGGGGAGAGAGAGAGAGAGAGAGAAACATCGATGTGAAAGGGACACATCGAGTGGCTGCCACCCGCACGACCAACCAGGGCCGGGGATAAACCGCAACCGAGGCACGTGCCCTCAGCGGGAACCGAACCCGGGTCTCTCCAGTCCGTGGGCCAACGCTCTAACCGCTGAGCCAAACTGGCCAGGGCATTTGTACTTTTTCTATAAGGTTAAGAAAACCCCTCTGTTTAGTATAGTTTTTATGACTTAATATTTTCTGGGTCTATTTACATACATGTTTATAGGAACCACTTAAATACACATCTTTATAAATATGGCCTCAAGTGATCTCAAACTCTTTGCTCAGACAGTCCATTTATATTGAGGAGATTTAAATAACATACGTTTCTCTTCCTCTCTCCTCGCTAAAGTTGAGGTATTTTGAAAATTTTAAAAACAAGCAATTCGATAATTCTGGATCCTTCTGACGCAAGTAGTAACATAAATAATATTAACTTGCATTTCATGTGGTGGCACTATACATTTCTCTCATGTGATACAACAGGGTATGAGTAGCTTTAATTGCATATAATCACTGTAGACAGTTTTAAAAAATAAGGGTCGTTCAGGAGATCATCACTGTTACCCCAGGTCTGATGGCCGCCCAACTCTGAGTCGATCAGGGCAAACGGCAGCCCTACTTCACGTGGCTTAGAAAGGTTCGGTGACATCAAGTGGTCACCCAACCCGTCAGTGGGGACACCGGGACCAGACCCAGGGTGTTCCCTCACTGCCCTTCCATCATCAACCACAGGTTCCGTGTACAGGTAAGAGCATGTGTCCTTTGGCCGAATGATGTGTGACTCAGCACCCGGGCCCTTCCCGCTCCCAGCCTGCTGATACATGACCAGGCCCCCAGCAGTCAGTGCTGACGAGTGAACGATGTTCGAAGACACTGCTCCAGTCATCAGCCTCGCTTTCAGGCAGGCGACCCTATGAGTCATAACGCACTTCGTATTCATTCACACAACACCCACCAGGACCCTGAGTAACGAGAAAATCAGTTACCTTTTCCATGGTTCCCCCTGGTCGCAAACCAGTCGTGGTCACTTGGACTGCAGTGGCCTGGAGTTTAGATTCCAGACCACCAGGGTCATTAGCTCCATCAGTCAGGCGTGCTGGCTCCAACCCGCTGGGCCTGGCCTCGGCCGCCGGCCCCTTGCAGTGTGGGCTGACCCTGGCCACTGGTTTGTGCCTGGACGCCAGGCTTTTGGTCTTCTGCTGGGGGGCGCCGGGGCCGTCCGTGCTTGCTGGGCTCTGGGTATCGGCTCTGCACTCCAGTTTGGGGGAACTCCTGGATCCTGACAGCTCCTTCCTCTCTGAGCAGCCAGAGCCACCCTTGGGGGCCTCTGCAGAGGACAGCAGGATGGCTGCATGGGAAGCAGTGCTCCCCAAGTTCCCTGGGACCCTCTCCTCCAAGCTCAACGAGCTGCCAAAGAGAGGCACCGAGGAGGCCTTGCTGACCAGTGTCTTCTGGGGCTGTTCCTCGTGGTTGTCGACACCCCTGACCTTGGAAGAGTTTGTCAAGACAAGCCTAGGGTCGTCCTCTGTCAGAGGCCTGCCGGGCCCTGGGAGGGTCCCCGGGAGGGAGATGCAGTCCCCTTCGCCCTCCAGCTCGTCCTCGTCACTGGCGTCAGTGTCGTAGCAGCCCACCTTCCTCTGGCGGAGGAGAGGGTTTCGGAGGACCTGCGGGCTCCCCGGGAGACTGGCTTGTCTGGCAACTGTCACCTGCTTGTGGAAGGGCCCGGAGCCTCGCTGGCTTCCTAGAGACACCAGGCTGTTGGCCCTGGCTTTCCCTGGTTCCTTGTGAGCTGGCGGGGAGAGGAAAGTCCAATGAAAGAGTTTCCCGTCTGGCCTGATCTTGCCGTTTAACCCCCGAGCATTTCCGTCCACAACCGCCCCCTGCACCGGCTGGCCGCCCGCACCAGGCTTGCAGATGCAGCTTCTCGAGGCCCGCAGAGGGCCGCCCGCACCCTCGCTCCCGCTGGCCTCCCTTTCTGTGCTTGTATTTCTGCGTGTGCCTAAACCTCTGATTGCTTAACTTAAACATGGGTGCTGCCTAGAGACAGAAATACATAATTTGTCACCATTCAGGATATCTAACGCATTGCTGGGGTTCAACCCAGATGCTGCTGCTGAGAATTCCTCCTTAGGGATTCATGCCGGGGCCTTGTTATCATCTGAGGCCCTTCCTTCGTCAGCAGAAAGGCGGGCTTGACTGAGGGGCATGTACGCGCCCAGAGTGGGTGGCACGGTGAAGCCCGAGATTAGAATCTATAATCATTCCACCCGGGAAGGAAGAAGGGCCTGGCTGCTCTGCAGACTCGACACATCCGACTAACATAGGGAAAAGTCACATGGGGCTCCACCTGAAACCCTTCTAGGCGACCAGGGTACGCTCGTCCGCTGCTCCGCACGAGGGCAGGGCGCCGTCGCCTGCTCCTCCTAAGACAGGCTTTGTCTTGTTCACACATCAGAACTAAAATCGAGAAGGACACCACACCAGCAGAGGGCTGAGCAGTCGGTACGGGTCACCTCCGATCACTTTCTCATATCGAGAAGATAAGCAATGAGATTCTGTCTCTCACAAGTTTGGACCCTCGCACGCACTGCCTTCTAAACAGAATCGAGTTAGATTCTGGGGAGGGAAGGGCCCTGGCTAGGACTCCCCTAAAACACAGGCCACCAGGGTGCCCTTCCTTCGACACCACACATTTCAGGACTTCCGTGTGGATGTGGCACCTGAAGGCGGTCGGGTTGGGCCACCTCGCGCTCGGTGTAGAACGTGCGCCCAGGCCCTACGCTCGGAATTCAGTGACCCGACATCGACAGCGGGCTGCCTTTTCCAAATAAACTCTGAATCTAGTCAAGCTAGAGAGATGGCTTCTGCTCGGCCAGAGGCCTGTTTCTATCTCCCTTTCCATATCCCAGCACCGTGGTCTTCTGGAAACCAGCCGCCGCTTACTGGGGGTGCTGGGGGGCAGGCTGCCGTCCTCGGAGGTGCTGCGGCAGCTCCCCGTGTGGTCTTCGTCCTCAGAGCCGGCCACCAGGAAGTCTGACAAGGGGCCCGGGACGTCCTGGGCGAAGTACTGGGCAAGCTCGGACTCCGAGACCAGGGAGGCCTGCGGAGGAAGACAAGGTCAGGCTCGGGAGGCGCACCAGAAGCGATCCTTTTCAACAGTAATTACTTCCTATCTTTCCAAGAACACTTTGTTCTAATCCACGGTCATTCGAAACAGCTGTGGCAGTAAACGCCACTTCCACTTACTTTAGGATGGCTCACTTAAACCTTTCACGAGTCAACAGCCAACGGCTGCTGCCAGACAGTGATTTTTAAGATATTTGTTTTGTTTTGGCCAAATGTTTGGTGATGAGGAGAAAAAGCCACAGCAGCATGTGTCAACGCTCCTTTGAGGAGGAGAGACAGGGAAACAGGGCAACTCCTAGCCACTGGCTCAACCTGCCGGGGAGACGCAGCACAGGGGAGCCGAAGCCTGTGCTCAGATCCCCGGGGACCTCGAACAGCTAGCTGGGAACCATTCCACCGCCGCCTCAGAGTTGCAGACCCCCCCAAACCGACCGAGGCCCTCTTATTATGGAGCATTTTGAAAACGATTTTTTCAAACTGCAGCTCAGTTCTTTTATTTTTTGCTCTATTCTTTTCCTGGATGAATATTTAATAAGAGAAACACACATTTGTTCTCAAATCAGCATTGTTGCTGTTTCCTGTGTCAAGTGGCCAAATCCCTCACGGACAGAAATGCAGGCCAGGCCCTCACCTTTGACTCACAGGCTCCAGGGTGTGTTCCTGGGCCCCAAGTGAGGCAGCAGCGCACGCCGACTCACCTTTTTTGCAAGAGATGGACTCTTCAAGGGGGTACCTGCTGGGAGAAAAATTCACCATATTGTCAAAATAATGACGCTCAAATCCTTACAAACAGGCTTACATCCTTAACTATGACAGGAGCCAAACACATTCAACAAAACCCTCTTTGCTTGACTAGCACTGATGGGCCATGTGCACAGTACTGACATGCATGCAGTCTACCTGTGAACCCAACCCCTATCCCGCCCCACCTCCCAAGATTCTGCTCATGCTTGAAGACTGAACTTGGGTGCCACTACCTCTGTGATGATCACAGCTGAAGTAACTTCTGAATTTCTCAAGTATTTTATGCTCCTCATCCACCAATTCCCGTACACATAGTGTAATTGAATTGTAAGTGAATGCATCATATCTCCCTTCCTCAACTCTCTATGTACAGGCTGAGACCCTCACTGATCTGAGCCCACAGTGCTCAGCATGCACCTGGATAGGAAATGTGTGTTGAGTGGATTAAAGAATGAATGAACAGAGGGACAGCACCCAAGACACTCATGAAAGACCCGGGGAGAGGGTTGAATATCTATTTTAGATTTTACTGGAAGGGTGAAAAGACTCAGCATTGAGACTTCAAATTATATGCCACGAGCCAAAAGATCCTGGGCATGAGGATCATGGCTTAATGAAATCTTTTATGAATGATCGAGGGGCTATGCTGGGATTATGAGAGGACAGCTTTCAGGCAGGTCAGGAGAATGAGCTGGTTGAATAAAGAGCCCATTATGGCTGTGCCATAATTTTAAATGTATTAATTATGGATGCAAATAATCAGGGTATTTCATGGTTTCCAAGAACTCCTATGCCTTCCCTGTCCTCTGACAACCAGTAACTCAAGTCTCAGTTCCTTTCCCTCCAACATCAGTCTACACGTCAGTAATATCTCAAGTTCAGACATGTTTGCGCAGTCCCTGCCCATTTCCGTTCTGTAGGAAACATTACTTCTAGGACTCAGGGCAATGCTTCCTGTTGTCAGTTCACATGGAATTCTTACTGCCCCGCCCTCCTCTGCTGGAACTTTTCCACAGGAGAAGGGGAAGCAAACTTTCTGCAGCCTCTGTGACTTTCTGGACTTGAAACGTTTAATTCATGTCAAGAAATCCCCAGCTTTTGGATCATATACTCTGTATCTAATAACTGACATACCAAACAACGGATATTTTGCTATCGTTTCATGTTCACTGAGAGAGAGTTGTACATAAACACATGAAATGCTAATTCGCTTTTGCAAATTATCTTCAAGTAGTCTGAGAAGCATGTATGGCTGGAACCCTAATAAAGCCGATTAAATAACTGCAGATATCCAAAGTAGCAGCTAAGAGAAAGCACAGAATCTCTCTGACAGCCACTTCTGCCCGACATGATCATTACAGAGAATCCAGTAATACTGCACCGAGGAGTGCCCCGCGGGGGAACCTAATGAGACGCTTCTGAACGTTGAACGAAAATGTGCAATTACAGTACCTAAGCCAGGAGAGGAGTTGGCCTCTTTGCTCTCCTGATAAGTGCTGCGTGCTATCACTTCATCCATTTCCTGCTCGGAAACCTGATTTTCAGCAGAAAGCACAAATTAGATGGTTTCATTTATTTACTTTCCCCAGTAAAAAGTAGCTAGAAACAGAGGCGAAGCTGGGCACAGAGGAAGACCAGAGGAGGAGGGCTCTGCTCACCCCGAAGCGACCACTCAGGGCCTGGAGGCAGAGCTGGCTGCTCGAAACAATGTGCGCAGATCAGAACCTCCTACTGGCTCCCAGATTCATTCAGCAAAACAGTGGCTGGTATCTGCCTGTCTCTGGAACACTCACTTCTAACTCTTCTCCCCAAACTTTATTTAAACAATTTCAAACTCACATCATGACCTTTCACACGTACATATCTTATCACGTAGCTCCTAAAAACCAGGGCATTCTCTTAAAAACATTTTTTTTCTTTATTGACATTAGAGAGACAGAGGAAGGGAGAGGGAGAGAGAGAGAGAGAAACATCAATGAGAGAAAACATCCAACTGGCTGTCCCCCTGCATGCCCCCTACTGGGGATCAGGCCCCCAACCTGGGCATGTGCCCTGAACAGGAATCGAACTAGCGACCTTTTGGTGCCCAGGCTGACGCTCAACCACTGAGCCACACCAGCCAGGCAAAGGGCATTCTCTTGAATAACTCTGGTACTATTATGAAATTCAGAAAATTCAATGTTGATGCGAATGATTGTCTAATAACATACATACATTTCACATTCCAATTTAGCCAATTGTCCTAATGTTCTTTTTCAGAAACACTACTCAAAGTGTGTCTGTAGACTGGAAGGGGTTCGCCAAAAGTGTGGTACCAGCCTGGGATAAGATAACGATTTTCCTCGAGAATGCGAATCGACACTCAGATTCTTTCATCAACTCCATCTGGCCAGGGAAAACATGTCATGGGAACTAAACGCTGTGCACGGTGACGTGACAGTCACATTCCGTGCGAGCTCCTTCGCTGGTGGGCCCTCAGCGGGCTGTCGCTGACCAGCGTTTCTGCACGGTTATGCCTCACAGAATTTTGTTTTGGAGGATCCAGAATTCAATTCACAGTCTAGTGGTCATGTCTCCTTGGTCTCTCTTCAGCCAAGCTGTTCTGAGCCTTCCTTTTCTTTCATGATACTGATATTTTGGAAGAAATGAGGCCAGTTGCAGCCCTCAGAGAATTTGTCTAATAGTTTCTACATGCTTAAATTTAGATTGTGCATTTTTTGGCAGAAAAACGAAAAAACGCGTTTCCTTCTCAGTGCACCAGGGGCACTCAGCATCGGGGTGCTTCCCAGTTGGGGACAACTTTGATCAGTGACTGGGATGGAGTTCACCAGATTTCTCCACTGGATTACTAGTATTCTGGGGGGTCATTAATGGTAATCTGTGAGGAGAGAGTTAGAGACTGTATCAATATCCTGCTTCCCAATATATTTTCACTCAATGGTTTTAGCAACACTGATTATTATAGCCTGAATCAATTAGTACGATGAAGTTTTCAAAATGGTGATTTTATAACTCTTCTTTTCCTTTTATATTTATTGGTATCATGGTAAATTCATAGATTCCTCCCACCCCCACCCCTTATGTTGCTATCCAAACTGTCATTATTCATGGGAAAATTTTTTTTAAAAGTCTGATATGTGCTAAACTATGAGATATTTACAAAGACAACTACATAACTTGTATGGTTTCTTTTTTTAAAGGTAAGAATATTTTAAACTTAGGATGGCAATTTTGTTACTAACATAACATTTAGTACAAATACTATTTGGCTAAGTGTAGCAATTTATCTCAAGTAAATAAATGTTTCAATACAAGATTTGGCATTACATTTAACCATAATCACATCCTGGCCTTTATGTAATACTTTGTCATAGGTTTTACAGAAAATAAAATATGTACACATACGTGCACATAGGCATATACACTTGCTTGTACACACACAAACTCACCCCTTCATAAAGCAAAGAATAATTTTGTATACATGAGCCAGGGAAAATACCCATTAAAACAGTGGTTGCAACTTTGTCTTGATATTAGACTTTCAAGAGTTGCAATTGTTTTTCTGAGTGGGGAAAAAATGGTTGGGCTTTGAAACATGTAAAAGATTTCCCAGATAATTCCAATCATGCTGAGAGCCCTCGCACCAATTAAAATGGACCTGTACTACTTTCTTCTACTTAACGTAAACTAGACGCTGCTACAATCCCAGCTTGTCTAGACCTGGAGGGGTTGAATGTCCCAAGCAGGCAGCGGCTGCTCCAGTCGTTATGAGAAACAGAAGAAAAGAAAATCCTCGTGGTATTTCTCTTGGAACAACATGAAAACCAAGGAAGCACATACATTCAGTATCAAAACGTACTGTTGGCATGAGATGCTGGGGTAAGAGGTACAAAAATACATTAAACATAAAATGGAATCTTGACCAAAAGGAAAAATATAGTATGATGTTACAATTCAGAATGCCATGTTTACCTAGGGAGAAACGTTTAGTCCGGCCAAGCAAAGACTGAAGTTTGGTTTTGCTGGACGTTATCACCAACACCAGCATGAGGACCATTTCCTGCAGCTAGAAACACACGTCGACCTGTGTGCCCAATGGTTGCAGACCACCGTCCACCAGGATTTACTGTGCTCTGCACGGAAATGCCACTTGTGTTTGTTTGTTTGACCGTATTAGCAAATTAGGCAGATGCTTGTGCGCTGAGACGAAGCGGACCTCTGAACACACCATGACCGGTGTTGTGGTCAATGGGTTTGAAGTCAGACGTGCTCTGAAGCTGTCAGACCGCAAACCACTGAGAGCTTAACTTTCTGTAACGTTGCTGAGGCATGTGCTAGGTCAGCCACAGCTTCGTGGGCTCCCCCTCAGGGAACGTGGGTGTGGAACCCAAGAGAGGCCCCTGGAGGAAGGTGCCGAGGCTGTTCTAGCTGTGACGATGAGGCAAACCGGTGTGAGAAGGGACCCCGAGAAAGATGGGGAGGGCGGGAAGCGAAGTAGGACAGAGTCTAAGGGAGAGTCAGGACCGCAGAACAGAATGGGGAGCAAGGGGATGAGAAGTAGAAAAGCTGGAAAAAGAAAGAAGCAGGATTTGATTTTCTAGTAATGATATCCGAGAAGTTTCTATAGGAGACATTTTTGAGAAGGCACGTAGACAAGAGACAACAATCTGGAAGAAAAAGTAGTGGCGTTGGCTCTGAATCAGGGTAATGACAACAGTCTCTGTCCAAGCACTGTGGTTGACATCCCCTTCCCGGACCAAGGCACGGGGTCACAGCCCGATAGCACTCCCTGGAGCCCGGGAGAACCAGGGCCACACGACCCCCACTGAGACACTGAACGCCAGGCCAGGAAGTGACCACACTAGGAAATCTCAGCCGTGGCACATGGGAGGACCACACGGCACAGACTTTGTTCTTGAAATGGCACACAAGCCCATCAAGCCAGAGGCCAGGGGCCATTTAGGATATCATTAAATAATACTAGGGTGGGTGGCCACAGGACAGGCATGGAAAGAACGAATGTTCTTAATGAGCATTTTGAGTTGTTAAAAGGAAAAGATTAAATTTTGTAAAATACAACCTGATTATAATGTTAGAGACAAGCTAGTTTTAAAAGATTTTTTACATCGAGTACTCAAAACAACAAAAATTAGCATTGAAAGAGGGTTGAGGTGAACTTGTTGAGGTGTCTTGTGATTAACTGAAAAAATTAAAAGCAACTTCCCAGGTTTAGAAGAGATAACCAAGTAACAGCACAGGCTGAGGGGACAGGGGCTTCGATAACCTACAAGTTCAATATGGGTCAACAGTGTGGTATCGAAGCTGAAAAAAATTAGTGGGCCCTTAAGTCTAATTACAGAAGTATTGTGCTCAGGTGAGGAATGAGCTGGACAAGTCATCTGGTCTAACGCTCTCGGATATTCTTGAGGCAGAACCCAGCACTGCTACCTTCTACCAAAGTTTATATTCACCAATAACATTGTCAGAATTGTCTAATAAAATTTCCCAAGAATGTGAGGCTGAAGAAGTCCCGATCAAGGATCCATGTCCCGTGTGTGTCTGCCCCTTGGCCACTGTGTGGCCTCAGGCTGATTCCCATCCCCAGCTGAGTGTCCTGTCTCACCAAAGAGCACGTGTGGTTACCGTAAAGTGTGTCACTGCTACTGGAGGAACAGCCAAGCCGTCTTCCCATACTCAGAACAGCAAGAAATACTTCACCTTTGGGTTAGGGTGCCGGCCGATGACAAGGCGGACGGGTCCTGGGGGGCATTTGCTCAGGATGGCGTGGACTTTGCTTAACGCAGCGTGGCGGACGTTGACCGAGTTCACTTCCAGGATTTGATCTCCGCGGCTAGGGAGGCAACGTAATCAACACGGTGCTGACAGTCGGCTTTCTACAAGGTTTCCTTCCGGAAGGGGGCTACCATACGGTATCTTTCCTGAATACTTTAACGTATTCCATCTTTGCATACATGGGAAAGAGCAACCCATTCATGTAAACACATTAGGTTTTAAATTGGCAAAAGCCATTAGCTTATCTACCACATTTCTAGAAGTCGTAGTTACATAAAATAGATAATAAGGACAACGACGCAGGCTGCCAGTGCTCAAGCATGGAGCGTATACCAGGCACTGCCTGAAGTCATCCACATAACGGTGCTTCACGAGGTATTATTATTCCCATTATGCAGAGAAGACCACAGGCTCAGAGAGGTCATCCAGAGGTCACACACTGCTGAACCCAGGTCTCTCTACCTCTTGATCATCACATGATGCCCCTCGACCACCATCAATTTCTTTTTTCCTACCATCTTGAAATGATTATTGTAATATAATTTAAGGAGGAAATATCTGAAGCTCAAAGGTTACCCAAGAATTTGTAAAAACGTTTCAAATTTGAACAAATGAGAAATTGAGGACAAGATGCCCATTTTTGACTTGAAATTATAGGGAGAGAAGTCAGTACGAGAGAACAAAGACTCTTTATACGGGTTTTGAAGAATGTTCATTTGGCAGGCTCCAGACATATGGAACCATTCAAAAAAGAAACATCATCTTGGGATGTCATTAAAGGATTTTTTTCCCCTTGGGTTCCAAAAGTATATTTTCTTTAATGTACTTTGGATGATTTGCTAATTTTTTTTTTCATATGGAAATTCATTCTAATGATTAACTAAAAACATAATATAATCTATTAACAGGGCCCCAAAATGGCAACCTCAAGGAATGTCATTTTGACAATTCCTCGACTGCTCAAGGACCTAGAAGCTTATAGAGAAAGGTGATACCGTTTGCTTGGAGTGCTATGTGTAATATGTGTACATTCTTGGGAAGTTTAGGTGGGCACAGACCCATCGCTACTATTTAACAGAACACCTAGGCATGTCTTGTATAAACAGAATACCCAGGCTACAACCCAGTGAGCTGGACTGAGAAATCAGACACGCAGTGACTTCAGACAGTAAGTATCTAGATATCACCACTCAAAAAGAAATAAAACTACAGGAAAGGTTCAAGAGATTGCACTTAATAGTAAAAGCCTCCGGTTCAAGGGCATGACTTGAGGACTCTCATTGTAGCCAGTGATCCTGAACCATTAAGAGCAAATGGATTTTACAGAACTGAATATAAAAGTGAAAGAAAATATTTAGATAATCATAGTTATCTGTATAGTGTTGTGCTTTGTCATTTCTGAAACGGGACCTCGGTGTCCAAATAGAAGAACAACATAGAAAAAGCCAAGATCCAGGGATCTCTAATGCAACCAACTTTCATTTATACGAGCTTTTCATCTTTGGAGAAGCTCTTCACTATAATCCTGGCTGGATTTCTGCAAATGATACACAGGGCCAGAACCCTGCAAAGGAATGTAATGGGGCAGGTTGCTTACATGTGAGTGTATTCAAACCTGTACTGTCGGGTTTACAACGCACCTCAGGTTGCTCTCCATCTTGGCCACGGACCCTGGGGCAAGGCTGTGGATGTAGATGCCCGGAGGGCTGTTCTCCAGAGCCAGGCAGCAGGCACCGATGCCCAGTCCGACTCTGGGCTCTGCGAGAGGCATCGACCAAAGGGAAAACAACAACACAAAGAAGCATAAGCGATGTGAGGCTGCACGGATGTATCTAACCAGACTCGGCATGGAAATCCTGCTTTTCTGTGTCCACATTGCCACAGGCGGTTCATGAAATGAGCCCACGGCAGAACCACGGCTAACACTGGATGGTGACTTAGTCAGTGGTCTGCTCTCTTCCTCTAAAGAGCCTCTCAAATCTAGTGTTTTGGAAACAGGCAGAGTTGAAGCAATATATTTTATTCTGGATATACAAGTTCGGGTTTTCTGTGATCTTTCGTTTGATCACCGAAGCTTGTGATTGTTTAATTGCGTCTCTATTTCTACACGTGGTGAGGAGGGAAAGAAAACAAAGATGAAAAGCAGTAGGATGTGGGGATCACCCATGACTTAGTTACTGGTGTTCACTGTATTCCTACCTGCAATCTTTTATTCTTTAAAACTTTTAGCCCTAGAATTAAGCTGGTTAGTGGTTTTTTAAAACACGAGTCTCGGACACACCGTGATTCATCTGCAGAGAGCTTACAGGGCTGTGGGCTACTGGTAACTGCCCTTTACTTTAGCAAAATGATGAAAATCTCCACTTTTGCTCCCACTGTCTATTTAGAGAAAACCTATACAGCAGACTGTTCCAAAGGATCGATTGATAGAAAAAATATAAGAAGTTAACCTAGGAACAAATAAGACACTGCTATTGAGAGCATGTAACTATGGTGTGAATGGCTGGTGGCACCTTTGTTGAGCGTCACTTCCATGACAATTCTGTCCTTGGGCCCAGGGGCCTTCCGCCCCAGGGACGAAGAGCCGCTCTCATCGGAGCCCGCCGCTGGGGTTCCCCCACTGACGTTGAAGTTCGGGGAGCTGGATCTGCTCATGTGTGTGGGTGTTGAGCAGGGCGTGAGGCTTGGACTCAGTAACTTGGTGCGGACTGTTAGCACGAACAACCCGCTCCGGATTTGCTGAGAAAACAAAAAGAAAGTAGAGCTAAAACATTCAGACTGCCCCTAAGTCGAAGGGTGAAAATGAACAAACAGAAAACCAAACGCAAGCCGGAAGGAAATGAAGAAAAACATAAGAAAATAAAGGACATCAATAAGAATGCTGTTACCTTAAAGGTATGAATGGCTTCTTGAAACGTCAAGCCTTTTATTGGTATTCCATTTACATCTAGGATTTCATCCCCTAGTGACCAAACAGGAGAATTACATTAACGGCAAGCCCGACTTTACGGGAATCTATCTGCTCCGTCAGTAAGAGGCGCGCATACCACAGGGCCCCTGATTTACAACTCTATAAAAGGACTTTTATTGTTCCAATCCACTTTCCTTAGCTTAGCTCCCAGGAATGCCACAAAATGGGACAATGAATGGCAATACAGTCTTTTGCAGTAACTCTGTATTTCCGTCGTTAATTAAAACAACTTAGGGAAGCATCAAGGTCTTATTCTTTAGCCATTGCCAAGTTTAATAACAGATGTCTTATGTTTAGAGATCAAACTGCAAAAACTGAGTCCCAAGTCTTTTCTCATGGTCTTTGTTTAAAAACCGAAACCCCCTGGCAATGAAGCATGAACACACAGGCCTCTGAGCCTGGAGAATCATCACAGAGCAGGGATAATGGTTTCAATAATACAGACAAAACACTTGCGAGATACTATTCAGGAATGGCAGCCCCACCTCTAGAAATAGTCTAGATGCTTGGTCTTATTGGTGACGTTCCAGGTTCTCAGTCATTAAGCCGGCCAGTTATCATACGCTTCGACATGAGAAACTATCGTAGGCTAACGTCAAATTGCATACACATTCTCTCTTCCTCCCCTCCACCCCATCCTGGACTCATCTTCCACCCCAAGAAGGTACAGTTAGGTCATTTTCAAGCTGTTGATAGTATCTGCTGGGAATAGAAAAGAACTCGGACATCCTGTTGACTTACCAGAGTTTGTTTCTAGTTTGTACTCTTGTAACATGGTCTGTTTTTTAAAATAACAGTTCATCAGAAACACTACAAGGGGCCCCCGAAAGAAGCAGCTGGGCCTTGCACAGCAGTGCAGGACAGAAGGGGGACTTCCCTCACCGTTAACAGAGTGCAAAGCAGCACAAGGACTCATTCCCCTCCCACAGGCCACCAGTCCCAGGAGCACCCTGTGCGCTTGATTAAAGGAACCCTGTGCAGGAGTTCAAATGCAGCGGACCCCCCACACCCGTTATGTGCCTTCCCATGAACACAGTGACAGAAGTTGTAAAATAAGGGAAAGAATCATCTAACAATCACCTGGCATAACTGATTATTCAACTCGGGTGAGGTTTTGGGTTTGCTTCCACGTGGGAAAGGATGGAAACATTAAAATGGTTGCTCATGCTCTTAAAAATCTCGATACAAGATTTTAAAAAGACAGACCATTCATTCAACAGGTTGAAAATCCACTTCGATGACTTGTTTTTATTGTAAATGAACATAGATGAAAAAAAGCATTAGGAAGAATCAAGTGCTATTAATCTTTCCTAACTATTGATCCCCCCATCCCCATTCTGCTCCCCCTACCCGCACGGCAGGATAAATGTCAATCAAGTAAACACATGACATAGGCGTTATGAAAATGCTCAGCTGCTGGAGCTGACCTTGTTCTGTACAGACACGAACACCACCGGGAGTTGACCCTTCCTCTAAGACAGATACATAAATACTCTGCCATCCAGACATTAAGCCTGGTCATGTCTCATCATTAGCACACAGGCTTCTAGGGTCACTGCCTGAAAAAGGAGACTCAAATGCATTCTATCAGTTAATTAAAAAACAGTTTAACCCAGCAGCACCTATAGTTTGGGCCAAGCGAAAAGAACAGTCACACCATTTTTGAAGGTAACTAGAAATATTGTGATTTCATCACTTCATGAAGGAAGCATATTAATAAAATGAAAAAAAAAATCAGAATTCATCAGTAAGTTTTGGGGATCCGATGTACAGCATGATGACTATAGTTAACAATACTATGTTATATTCTTGAAAATTGTTAAGAGAGTAGATATATTTTTAAAATTTATTAATTAAATTATTTTTGTTACAGATGTTCTCCCCCCCAGGTACCCTTCTCCTGACCCCCACCCCCCCGCATTGTTGTCTATGTCCACTGGTTTTGCATACATGCATATAAGTTCTTTGGTTTATCTCGTCCCTCGCCCCTCCTCTGAGGTCTGTCAGTCTGAACCATACTCCTTTCTATATCTCTGGGTCTATTTTGTTCATTGTATTCCACAAATAAGTGAGATTATGTGGTATCTGTCTTTCTCTTTTTGGCTTATTTTGCTCAGCATAATACTCTCCAGGTCCCTCCATGTCATCTCAAAGGATAAGAGATCTCTCTTTCTTACGGCTGCATAGTACTCCATTGTGTATTTGTACCACAGCTTTTTTATCTACTCATCTAGTGATGGACACTTGGGCTGTTTCCAGATCTTAGAAATTGTAGGTGGTGCTGCTATGAACATGGGGGTACATATATTCTTTCTGATTGGTGTTTCAGGCTTCTTAGGATCTATTCCTAGAAGTGGGATCACTGAGTCAAATGGCAGATCAATTTTTAATTTTTTGAGGAAACCCCATATTGTTTTCCATAGTGGCTGCACCAGTCTGCATTCCAACCAGCAGTGTACTAGAGTCCCCTTTTCTCCACACCCTCACCAGCACTTGTTGTTTGATGTTTTGTTGATGGCAGCATTCTGGCAGGTGTGAGGTGATACCTCATTGTTGTTTTAATTTGCATCTTAAGAGAATAGATCCTAAATGTTCTCACCATACACACAAAACAGGTGATGAGAGGGGATGGAGATGTTAACTAACTTCATTGTACTAATCATTTCACAATATATAAGTGTATCAAACCATGTCACACACCTTAAACTTACACAATGTTATTCATCAATTACATCTCTCCATAAAGCAGGGTGGGGAGAGCACATGTTTAGTATGTTACTTTGTGGAAAAATGGTAGGTGCTATGGAGAATGTTAAAGATTTTTACGTATCCATCCCTCAGGCAAGGACGGACCACAAATTCTCAGGAATGTTCAAGGCAAGGACTAAGGGAATAAGGTAGATATGTAAAGACCCAAATAAAAATAGCAAGCCACAATTCACATATTATCTCATTTAATCCTCACAACAGGTTGGTACTGATTCCCCAAGTTTACAACTGAGGAAAGTGAAGCTCAGGTCACAGCTGCCCAAGGTCACGATGTGCTAAGTGTGGGATCCAGCCCAGGTCGACTCGACTCCCCAGGCAGCAGCCCCAGCTGCTGCCCACTCCTTCCAGCTTGCAAGGGGGGGGTTCTCATGGAGTCAAAGCTCACCCCCACGGAGGACCACCAAGAAGCTTTCTCCTACCTTCTTTGAGTCTTCCATCCTCTGCAGCTGATCCATTTGGGAAAATGGTCTTGACAAAAATCCCCATCTGTCCTCGAATGCAGTCGCGACCTCCAGCAATGCTAAAGCCAAGGCCCTACACCCAGAGCACACGGAGGTCCAGATGTCACTGTGGAATTTCACTGAAGACATTTGCCCATTTCAGTAGTCCACTGAGGGCCTCCTCCCCGCTGGAGGGTTCAACAGAGGTGTCCTCCCCCTCCCCAGTCATGCCCATAGTTAAGCTCACTACCTATAAATTCAAGTTCGTGTTCCCTTCTCCATGCCCCCCTCTTGTCCCCAACATCTATTTGTATAGTGCTAGCTATGCATCATATTAAAGGGAGAAAATTTGAGGTTGAAGCATATGAAATTGCCAATATTTGACAATCTCTGATCTCCAAAAATGGCAATGTCACATGGATCAACAAATAGCTCACGAGAGTCATTTCACATTATTTGGGTGCCATGTTCGTTTTATTCTTCTGTTTCAGTGTTCTTATTTTGTGTAATATCAAATGAACATTTTGAAATTTGTATAACAATCAAGTTACATGCATTATTTTCTTTATGATCATATCAATATCATGAAATTCATTCAAAAGGTGTTGCTCAGTGGATTAAGCACTGTCCCATGCACCAAGAGGTCACTGGTTCAATTCCTGGTCAGGGCATATGCCTGGGTTGAGGACTTGATCCCCAGTAGGGGGTGTGTGGGAGGCAGGTGATAGATGTTTTGCTCTCATAGATGTTTCTTTCTTTCTTTCTTTTTTTAATCCTCCACATTTTTGCATTTATCTTCAGATAGAGCAAGAAGGAGAGAGGGAGGAAGAGAGAGAGAGGAACATCGATGTGAGAGACACACATCAAGTAGTTGCCACCCACACGACCCCAACCAGGGCCGGGGACAAGCTGAAAACGAGGTACGTGCCCTTAGCGGGAGCCGAACCTGGGACTCTCCGGTCCGTGGGCCAACGCTCTAACTCTGAGCCCAACCAGCCAGGGCTCACCGATGTTCCTTTCTCTCCCCACGCTCTCCTTCTGAGGTAAACTGGGAGTACTCCCTGAACCTGCAGGGTCTGCTTTTCTCTCAACAGCGGTGAAAGTCGGGGCATTCACTTCACCAGCAATTCTGCCCTCATGGCCGGGTGTTGGTGACCTCTCAAATCAAAAGGGCAAAGGGTGTGACCCCCCTACTCAGAGGTCCACAGGGAAGGACCCCCAGGAATCCATGGTGCACGCAAAGGCCACATAATCTACTCCTGTTGAAATGTCCTTTTATTTCATATAAAAACAACAATAAAAAGTAACCATTTAAAAAATCTATGCGAATATTCACCTGGAGGGCAAACAGTGGGCAGAGAGGAGCTCACCTTGCCTTTTTCTTTGTACAGCCCAATGATGGAGATGACGGAGGGCCGGATGAGTCTCCAGGGGGACTCCACCTGCGTGGTGCTCAGGGACCGGGTGGACTTCTTCACGATGTGGTACTCCTGCAAGTCAGCAGACAGCAGCGTCACTGCGAGTCTCGCCTGGCCTTCTGTTGCCTCCGGCGTGACATACATTCCGATTTGGAAAACCTGTTGTCTTTTGGGTTAGATGGCCATTCCTCCCTGGTCCAGCGGCTTAAAGAAAGTTTATTATAAATAACACCCGAGGGCCCCAGCTGGGTGGCTCAGTTGGTTGGAGCATCGTCCCATATACCAAAAGGTTGCAGGTTTGATTCCTGGTCAGGGCACATCCCTGGTCGGGGCACCTACAGGAGGCAACCCATCAATGTTTCTCTCTTACATTAATGTTTCTCTCTCTCTCTTCCTTTCTCTCTCTGATAAAACATCAATGAAAACATATCCTCAGGTGAGGATTGAAAAATAATAACAATTAAGCCCTGGCTGATTTGGCTCAGCAGTTAGAGTGCAGCCCACGGACTGGAGAGACCCGGGTTCGGTTCCCGCTAAAGGCACGCACCTCGGTTGCAGTTTGTCCCCCGCCTGGGGTTGGGGTTGTGTGAGTGGCAGCCATTCGATGTGGCTCTCTCACATTGATGTTTCGCTTTCTCTCTTCCTCTCTCCCTCTCACTCTATCTGAAGATAAATGCAAAAATGTCCTCGGGTGAGGATAAAAAAAATTAATCATAACAATGAAAAAATAAAATAAAATGCTTTAAGTAACACTGGAGGAAGAGCCCCCTTTGCAATAAACCGCCACCCCTTCTTCCTCCCCGGGAGGAGCAGCTCAGAGGCCCAGCTGTTTGGTTTTTCTTTCCTCAACTGCACTCCATGGGCCCTTCTTCTTACTTTCTGGACTGGAGTCAGGAACCAGTAACCCAGAGGCCTCAGCGACGTAGGGTGACCACCCCGGGGTCCGAGTCTCCCTTGGAAGTCACCCCCTACTCCTTCTCCAAGTTCACAATCATGGTTGGAAAGCATTCCCCATTTTAAGCTTAATTCACTCACTTAAAAACTTAGTAAGCCCTTGTTTCTTATAAAAGCCAAACCACAAACCCGGACAACGGTTATTCTGCACAAAACATGCCTCAGAGAACCGTCACAGCTTCAGTGCTAATCCGTCACCCTCGCACACTGAAGTGTTTCCCCGGGAGCTGCATTTCCCTCCCAGGCACACAGCACGCAAACCCCCCTCTCCTCATCCTGGCCGTCACCCCAGGAGAGAGCGTGTAAGCGGGCACACTATTTATAACATAAGCAAGAGAGTCTACTAATCTAAAGTCTAGTTCCTTGCTATTCTTCTTACAATAAATTTCTTGAATGACAGATAATTCAGCATAGTAAAAAAAAAAAAAAAAACCACTTCATATTTAAGATGAGAAGAGAGACATCAGAAATCGTTTTTATCCTTAATGAGCCTATTCTACCCTCCAAGGTAGAAGCGAGATGTCTGCTAATGATAGTTTTGTATTCCTGGCAGCTTAGAATAATTATACTTTGCAGTTTTACAAACCGTCTGCCAGCTATGTTGGTCTCCCAGACTTCGATTCAATAAAAAAAACGACGTTGGCTTGGCAAGATTACCACCCTTTTACTGAACCCACCGTGGAAACGGCCGGCACAGCCTGTGGGCTTCCAACCCTAGAACAGAGGCGCGTGCGGGACCTCTCCGCTCACCCGTCTCCGGCAGCCTCATTCCATCTCCCCTCCGGGAACCGGTGGGCAGCACGGGCCTGCTGCACCGTCCAGACACATGCTGTCCAACGGGGAGCCACCGGCCCCCTGCGGCTGTCTGTACTTAGTGAGGATGAATGAAAATGAAAAGGACAGCCCTCAGTCTCACTAGCCTCCCTCCATGTGCTCAGGAGACACCTGCGGCTGCTCCGTAGGACAGGACTTTCCATCACTGCGCACACTCTAATGGGCGGCTCTATTCCAGACAGTGCTTCTTAGTGGAGGAAGAGACAATAAGAACAAAAGAAAGGCGAAGCCTGGGAGACAAGGGAGAGGTCAGAAAATAGGAAGACGAGACAGCAGAAAGGACAATTTAAAGAGGAAAAGAAGTATTTTCTCTCAAATCTTTACTAGCCATGCTCTGTGCTCCTGGAAGCCTGGCTGGAAATAGGTATGTGCCGGCTGCAGATAGGGTCGTTCCCCAAAGGGCGCGCCTCGGAGCAGACAGCCCCGCTGATGGCAGCCAGCCCGGTTGCAAGTCCGCCCTGACACCGCGGCTCTCTCCAAGCCGGTTCATCTCCTCGCGCTGCAGGTCCAACTGGGTCGTTCCCAGCAGGGCACGGATGTGTCTCCAGTCTGGAGGAGTTTGCACCAGGTCCCAAGCAAGGTTTTTGCTCTGCTTTCTTTTGCTGCTCCAACTCAAGATGCCTTTGGGTGGACTCAACAAAAAACAGCCCGATCAGCCACTGCCTCGGACATGTGGGTGCTGTTCACGTTGCTGGCCAGGTGAGCCTTCGCAGGGGCTCTGGCGTGTCACTTTGAACAAAGACTTCACCTCCTTGATTTCAGTTGTCCTAGCTGTAGAACGGCGACCACACATTAAAAGCAAGGCCTGCTCGGGTGTCCTGGCCAGGGCCTCCTAGGTCTCCGAGCGAGTCTCCCAGGGCTCTGCAGCCATTGCGGCTTCAACCTCCCCGGCCCCACCGACGGTGCGTGGGCTCCCCAGAGACTGAGCCTGCCTCCAACTTGGTTATGAGACGTCACCCAGTTTCAGCGGGGCCGAGGATGAAGTCACTAGGAGGAGTCCCTGTTCAGAGTTATGGAGCCCTGGACACCTACGGGGACAGGCCCTGGAATACTAACATCACCACCCACTTCGGCCTCTCTGCAGCCCCCTCTGACCCTGGCTGTTTGAGTCATCACCGTGGAACAGGCAGGACCCCAGGCCCAGCGGAGACACACACCACACACTCCCTTCCCTCTTTCACATGGCCCAGATCCACCCTCCCAGCCGGTACACTGAACCGGTGGTGGTGGTTCAGCAGACCGGAGTGCCGCTGCCTCCCGGCGCTGGAGGCAGCTCTGGGCTCCAGAGCACACGGCAGGGAGGGCTCAGGACGCCAAGACCCAGCAAAGAGTTACTTATTTATTTATTTTGTCCTCACCCGAGGACACTTTTACATTCATTTTCAAATAGAGCGGGAGGGAGAGAGGGAGGAAGAGAGAGAGAGAAACATTGAGAGACACATGGACTGGATGCCACCCACATGACCCCAACCAAGGCCGGAGACGAACTGCAACCGAGGTACCTGCCCTTAGCGGGAGCCGAACCCGGGACTCTCTGGTCTGTGGGCTGATGCTCTAACCGCTGAGCTAACCTGGCCAGGGCAAAGGGGTTATTTTTCTCTGCTGTTTTCAAATACTAGGCTCTTGCTGGTCTTTGAAAGAATGACAGGAAGCCTAGAGATGCAGGGGTGGAAGCACACTCCGCGAGGCTCTGCGGCACTGCCTACCTGCGCTGTCCCTGAAGACCCCAGCAGCTGGGGCAGAGAGTGCTTGCGGCCATCGCGGGACACTTCCAGCATCCTGGCCCGGGGGTCCCCATTCCGCACCATCAGTTCGTTATATTCTTCAACAGACTCTAGTCGGTGCACACCCCCTGAAACACACAGGAGAAAAGGACATGGCATGATATGGGACAAAACAGAAGCTTAGGAGCACACATGGGCATAATAAACCTATCGCATTTACACCACATTCATGGTCTTCAGAAGGTCTGGTGTCCAATTCTTGCAAAGCACCAAGCTCACCACGGTCTACCCTCAGGCTCTGCACAGTTTGGTGTGTGTGGAAGCCATTACTGCCAGATCATGAAGAAAGTGCCGGTTTCTGAAGGGACCAGGTAAGTGCAATGTATATACTTCAGCCAAGTAAGATGTAACTGTGGTTGATAAGGCGATAAACAACAGTGAGAATGCTCTCAGCACATGGTTTTCTAGTGATGGAGGAATATCACTTTGTGGTTGGTCTAGTTCCATTGTTGGGGCAGATGGGTATTTTTCATGTATAATAATGACTTTTAATTATTTTTATTTTTATCCTCACCGGCAGACATTTTTGCATGTATCTTCAGATAGAGTGGGAGGGAGAGAGGGAGGAAGAGAGGGAGAGAAACTTCGATGTGAGAGAGACACACTGAGTGGCCGCCACCCACACGATCCCAACCAGGGCCGTGGACAAACTGCAACTGAGGAACATGCCCTTAGCGGGAACTGAACCCAGGACTCTCTGGTGCACAGGCCAACGCTCTAAACATTGAGCCAAACTGGCCAGGGATATAATAATGACTTTTAAAACACACTTAAAAGAATGATAACAACTTACCGAAATGTGCACAATATGGACATAAACAACAAAGCTGGGGACGGGGTGGGGAGGGATGGGGAGGAGGGTGGCCATGGGGGAAAAAGGAGAAACATCTGTAACAAAAATAGCTTAATAAAAAAATAAATTAAAAAAAGAAATGTGCACAAATAAGTGTACAGTTCCATGAAATTTCACAAAGTGGATGTACCTCTAACCAACACCCAAACCAAGAAACAGAATCTTGTCAGAACCCAGAAGCCCGTTTTGTGCCACTAACCACCCCTCACCCAAGGGTAACCATTATCCCAATTTCTAACATCATAGATTACTTTTGCCTACTTTCGACCTTTCGCTAAATGAACACATACAATATGTATTTCGTGTGTATCTGGCTCATCATCCTTAGCATTTGTTTGTGAAATTCCACCATGCTGTTGCATGCCAATAGATGGTTCATTCCATTTCTGTGTACCATTTCATTGCATAAACATGTCACAATTCATTTATCTCTTCTTTTGCTGATGGACATTTGGTTTGTTTCCAGTTTTAGGTCTAGAACAAGGGTCAGCAAATTTTTTGGAAAAGGCGAGATAGTCAATGTGTTAGGCTTTATGGGCCACAAATGGTCTCTGTTGCATATTCTTTACAAAACTTTTTTACAACCCACTAAAAATTCAGAAAGCATTTCTGGCTCATGGGCCATACAAATATAGCCATGGGCAGTAGTTTGCTGACCCTAATCTAGAATATGCTGTCACTGAACATTCTCATAGATGTCATGTCTGTTGAGTGTAGACCTAGGAGTGCAGTGGCTGGGTGACAGGTATACATGCACCTTTACCAACATCGTATCACCACTGTGTGTGACTTCTAGTTTCTCCACATCTGTGTCACACTTAGCTGCATCAGTCTTTTTACTTTCAGCCACTCTGGTGAATGTAGCCGGCATATCATTGTGGTTTTAATTTACATCTTTTTGTTGACCAATGAGCTAGAGATTCTTTTAAAATATTCATTGGCTGTTTTTCTTTTGTCAAGTTGTAAAGTGCCTATTGAAGTGTTCATTCTTTTATTGGGTTTCTCTTTTGTTGTTGATTTATAGAATTTTACTTTTGTTACTATATTTTGGATACTTGGATAGATTGTGGGATCTATGTACTGTAATTATCTTCTCTATGTTTGTGACTTGCCTTGGCACTCTCTTAGTGTTATTTTTTGATGAGCAAAAGTTCTTAATTTTCAAATATATAGATTTTTTTCCTTTTTGGTTGGCACTTTTGGGTCCTGTTTAAGAAATTTGCATGGTAATGATTTTTAAAGACACCCTTATCAGTCCCTCCTTTATATTATATGCCACTTAAAAAGATACTTTAAGGGACTTTAATCTTAAATGATGTCTTAATTACACTAACTGTAGTAGCTGTAATCACATTACATTATTTACATTATACACGATGTCAGCGATTTCCAATCTTTTCCATCTCATGGGACACACAAACTAATTACTAAAATTTGGCGGCACATGAAAAAAATACACATTTTTTGCCAATCTGACAAAAACATAGGTATAATTTTGATTTAATCAACTGACTGGCTATTGTTGTGTGGGCTGTTGCTATTTTTTTTATTTGGCAATCTAAGGGAACAGAGGTCAGTGCCCCTGACTAGTCAGGTATTGCATGTTTTAAAATTCTCGTGGCGCACCAGTTAAAAATCGCTGTACTACATATTTATCTATATCTATATCTATATCTATATCTATATCTATATCTATATCTATATCTATATCTATATCTATATCATCTATATCTATATATTTCTGTGAATATAGCTATACATACATACAGATTCTTTTGGAATATCAAGCTATCCTGGACCATGTAATATTTTATTTGATGACCTAAAATTTCAATTTACCTAAAAGTTTTTCATGGGATAAAATAAGCTGATTCTGTACTCTTTTACAAATAATATATTGATGAATTTCTAATATTGATGAAAAGACAGAATAGGTCTGACGCAGTTATTTCAAAATGGACATCACTAAAGCCTTGGTTTTTCAGAAGCTGAATAATAACTTTGTTACACAGGTTTTCAAGCACCTGAAATTCCTTTGCAGTCAAATAAAATTTTCCACTTAAAAAAAAAAAAATCACACGCCTAAGGCATGAACATGGATAAATCAAAAATACCAAAATTAAAAGGGAATCCTGCTGGCGAAAAAGGAGGTATGAAGTAATGAAAACTCAGGTTAGAATTTCAGAAAAAATGTTCCATGAAATCGCTTTAGTCATTTTTGGAGCCAGACTGGGCAAAAATCATAGTGGAAATGGCTGGAACCTCTTTACAGAGCCTCCTTAATAATTCATGACCAGATTAATCTCTCTTGGCGTGCTTGCTCATCTGAAAAAGATTTATTAGAAGAAAATTCCTTTGGAGTTGACAGGGAGGCACTTGCCATCCACAGAAAAGAAACCACATACAGTAGTGTCTGTGGATAATACACTGATATGTGAATACCAGAGTGACTCAATTTAAGAAAATATGAAATAAATACCCAAGTTTACAGGATGGACAAATAAGGAGCTCATCACATTAAAATCTGTCTTCAGATGTCTGTAGACTGAACATATGTCACAGCACTGAACGCAGACCCAATCCCTTAAGCCTCTTTAACAGGTCTCCAAATTGCTTTTCCAGCCTTATCTCCCACTGCCCAGCTACACAAACCCATTCCTCCAGCCTGCTGATTCTCAAAGGAGAGGATCTGACCAAAACTGGCATCCTTTCCAAAACCGGGGAGCATATAAATCTCTCTCGACGTTTCACCCAACTTCGCCGGCACCCTCACCTCCCTCCGCCCCGCGCGTCTGCTTTCTCCTAAGCGCTCCTACGAGCTCTGCTGGACGGAATCACTCCTACTGACCAGTTACTGGATCTTGCAGACAGATGCGGAGGAAAAACAGTTACCCTAAACGTCTCTAACCAATTTTCCCCCATCGCCCCTAAGCGTTTCTCATGCATCCCCCCACCACCACCACATCGCCACCCGTTTTTCTTTGCTTCTGTTCCACCAAATCCTGTCCAGGTCCTGGCCCTTCTTTATTTTGCATCCTCTGAATGTCCCCTCCTGCCCTGAGCGCCACAACCCAGAGAGACCTCCAGTCTCTGCCCCTCTGTGCAGGCCTTATCGTGGCCTACACCGACTGACCTCTTCCTGTCTCAGCCCACTGAAGCACCTTGTCCTCCTTGTCCTCGGGAGGGAGCGGAGAGGACGATGCTAAGGGTGATGGGACAGGGATGACAACGGTGCTGTAGCCACCACACGGGGAGGGCCTGCGGCGGCCGCACTTCAGAGTGGCGCAGCCATACGCATTCCGTCGGCTCCGTCTTTCCACAAGGCCTGGCGCCCAGAGGGCACTCCGTTGACTGGCAGGGTAAATGAGGAACAGAGGGCCAGAGAAGGGGAGTCACTTGCCCCACGCCCCAGCTGGCAGTGGCAGAGCTGGGCAGTGCTTCTTGCCCACGTCTACATCTCTCTGCCTGTCTGGGAAGAACCTGGGGAGGGAGGGTGGCAGCCACTTGTGGTGAACAGCCGCCAGCCCTGGATTCACTGCTCAGCCGAACGAAAGGAACGAGCAGAGTTAGGGAGTCATGGATCTGAAGGTCCTCAGCTAGACCCCCTCCCCACATCTCCATCTATGAATCCCCAGGCTGGGGAACAGGATTTTTGTCAACATCCTCAGTCGAGGGGTAGGTGAGAACTCAGTCTGGGAGGCAGATCTTTTTGGTGGCACTGGATGAGTGGCCTTTGGGATTCCCTTAATGTCTCTGGTCTCAGCCACTGAACGAGGACCGTGACTGCACTGGTTTCAAAGGTCCCTCATATTTTCCCAGAGCTCAGTGGCCCTGCCCTGGGAACCATGTATAAGGCATTGATCAACTCTGCCAAGACCTCTGACCTAGAGATCTCATCTATGTTCCTGTGACTTCTGGTTCCAAACACACAGGGTTTAAATGTAGTCAGTTGTCCCTTGGGCTGAAGGGGAGCTGGTCTTTGCATACAAGGAACTTTGGCATGATGTCTCTCCTTCTACCTGTCAGCCTCTGGTCCTCACCCTGTTCTTGTCACACACCCACATTCTAGCATTGGCTCAGACAGACACTAACTATTCTGAGTTACAAAGTCACCCATTTTATTACTCAAAAAACAACACTGATGTATTTTATGGTCCTAGAACTGCCATCTCACCTGAGAACAACTGAGCAGAGGGCGGCAGTGGGGGAGGGGTGCCCTTGTTTGACCGGCACAGATTTGATGGCAGGAAGAGGAAATGGGCTTTTTAGGATGTTAACATAATGCTTTGTGCCAGCTGCTTTCATGTGAGTTTATTATTTTTATTAACAAACAATCTGCTCAACCTGTCAGTATTATCATCCTTTTTCAGGAGGGACATGGAGGTCCAGGGACGTTCAGGAACCCGCCCCAGGCGTCAGGTAACCTGCGGCTGAGGGGAGCAGGTGGTTGTGCCAACCTTCCAAACCCTGCCTGTCATGCTCTACGGATGTCTCATGTGGACGGGGGCCAGGGCCAACTTCTCCGTCGGGCCAAGACAGTGCCGAGCAACCGCACCTCTTCTGGTGGCCCATAAAAATGTTTTAATTTCTTTTAAATTCAGAAGGAAAAAAATAAACATAATTATAGTAATGACTAGCCAAGCATGAGTCCAGCTTGCAACTTTATACCAATGTGGTCATCGAACACAATTTCTTTTTTTTTTTAATCCTCACCAGAGGACATTTTTCCATTCTTTGTTCAGATAGAGCGGGAGGGAAAGAGAGAAAGAGAGAGAGAGAGAAACATCGACGTGAAAGGGACACATCGAGTGGTCACCACCCGCATGACCCAACCAGGGTCGGGGACAAACTGCAATGGAGGTACATGCCCTTAGCGGGAACCGAACCCGGGTCTCTCTGGACCACAGGCCGACGCTCTAACCGCTGAGCCAAACCGGCTAGGGCTTGAACACAGTTTCTAGTATACTTTTCATAGGGGAGTGAGCCCGTCAAGGCAGACATGACTAGGACCTGCGGAAGTCCTGGGCTCCCAGCATGTACCCTCTGCTTTAACACTGACTCTCCCCTCAGGGCACAGACCAGCTGCCACGAGGATGTGCCCAGGAAATGTCAAAGCTGCAACTCCACCCCACCCCACGTAGCTGAAATACAGGATTGATATATAAATAGCCCTTTGCCCCTGGTTCTGGTGGACCCGGAGCTTGGGGGAGAGGTATATTTGCTGGGAAAATAGGCCACCAGCAATATTCCATAGTGAAAGGGTCACCTGAAGTCCTACTGAAGTAAATGAACCACATACATAGAAATCTTAAATTGAAGCAGAGACAGAGAGGCTGACATTCACTTACTGTGACTCAAAAATACTGATGTGCAAAGCCAGGCTGAATGCAGTTTTATGCCTGGGACGTGCACTGTCTAAAGGAAAGACACCTTTGGCTCTGGCCAGGGAGCTCAGCTGGTTAGAGTGCTGCCCCGATATGCCAAGGTTGTAGGTTCAATTCTTGGTCAGGGCACATACAAGAATCAACCAATGAATGCATCAATAAGTGAAACAAGCCCTGGCTGGTTGCTCAGTGGTTAGAGTGTTGGCTTGCAATCCAGAGACGCCCGGGTTTGGTTCCCGCTAAGGGCATGTACCTTGGTTGCTGTTTGTTTCCGGCCCTGGTTGGGTCGTGCAGGTGGCAGCCACTCGATGTGTCCATTTCACGAGGATGTCTCTCTCTCTCTTTCTCTCTCCCTCCCTCTTTCTCTCTGCCTCCCACTCCATCTGAACAAAAAATGGAAAAATGTCCTTGGGTGAGGATAAAAATAGTAATAATAATAATAAGGGAAATCAACTGTGAGTTTTCAAGGGAAAAAATAACTCATCGTGCTGCTACTGATATATTCCCGCTCCTGCGCCTGGAGGCTCATTTTCAGGAAGACGACGTCAGGCGAAGCGCCACCTACCTGAAAGGCGACTTTTCAGCTTCATTTTACTGCTGCCCTGCTTGGGACTTTCCAGGTTTCCCTTGCAGTCCTCGGAGCCGCAGTCTTGGGGCTCGCCTGCCCCAGGGATCTGAAACACAAGGGGCGCAGAGCTGAGGGGAGAGGCTGGCTCAGTCCTTCCCGAGAGCTCATCTCAGGGCTCGAGGGGCAGCGTGGCCGGGGCGCAGGACGGAAGACCGCCCTGCGGGGGACCTGGGACCAGGCAGGCTCTCCCTGCCCTCGCACCGCACGGCGGGAGCTGGGAGGGTTCTTTCTTTTTCCCCTCTCATTTTTATTAATTTATTTTTGTTTCAGATGTTTCTCCTTTCCTCCCATAGACACCCTCCTCCCCATCTCGTGCCCCCCACCCCCCCAGCATTGTCGTCTATGTCCACTGGTTATGCACTGGTTCCTCTCACCCCCCACACCCCCCCGCCCTCCTCCTCTGAGGTCTGTCAGTCTGAACCGTGCTCCTTTCTATGTCTCTGACCCGGGAGGTTTCCAAGTCTGCAGGGCTCTGGGGGTCTTTTCATTTCTTGAGAAAACTTGCTGGACAAGATCACTAATATAGTCAAAAGCCACAGCTAGAGCTCAGGTCTCTTGACTTGTGGGTTAGTGCAAGTTGCAACAAACATGACACCAGAAATTTAAACTCAATTCTAAGGTTCTTAAGATACAGTAAATGTTGATTTTGTGGCAGCCAAATAACCACACCCCTCGGGTCACCCAGATGTTCCATGTGTTACACTTCTGAGTCCTGACTGAATGCCTCCAAGAATCAAGCATGGCCCAGGCTACGTGGAGGCGTCCACACGAAGTCAGCCCGCACACCTGCGAGTTGTATGTCTACTATCAGATCCCTGCAGGCGATGCAGACAGCATGACCCTAACGCCCACTGGGTCCTCCTTCTGAGAAAGAAACAAAAAGCCCCAAACTATGTTTACTAGAGAGGAGATCTATGCACTGAGAGTATTTATAAAAAATTGGGCGTGGGGTTAGGGGGGTAAATTTACATGTATAAAACTTTGCAGATACATCAAACAGTGTGCCTTCTCATTTGAAATTTTATTTTTCTTTGAGGTCCTAGAGGAAATAAAGTCATATTAATTAAAATAGATAAGATTCTTGTGAAGGAACATATATGTACTTTAAAATAACGGAAGATACCCTTTAACACTCAGAAGCCATTGGAAAGTCATGTAATTATAATGTGAAAAACCTCTGCATTTTAATGGATAACAAACATTATACATCGTATCTAAAATTCTGTATATGAAAATGTATAAAGTGAGCAGTAAGAGTAATCTCCCAGGTAACCCCCCTTTTGAGAGGCAACTGTTTCTATATAAAGTGTATGTGATACATAAGATTTGGAATATTTCCCCTTTGCCCTCAAGTAATCTTCTAGATGAGAAACAGGGCAAAAAAGGTCTGAGAAATGAGGAGATATAGGCAAATGGGGGGGGAGGGTGGCTTGGGAAAACAAATTAATCATGATATATAAAACTAAGATAAATTTGGTGAATTCCTATTACAATGTCAGGGACTGGCAGGTATCCAGGTTCAAATGATGAAGAAAAGGCAAGAATAGAATCTTGAAGATGATTTCAGAGATTCTCTAGAGGGATGTCTTCCCAACCCCAAATTGTGACACTAATTCATGCACCGTACGAAAAAACCATCTTGAAGTCATGCCAGAGACCTGGGGCATAGGAGACATGCAAATAGAAAACACAGGGAGGAGCCTCTCCTTTGCTTGGTTTAAAATGTTATGGAAAGAACCTGTCTCCAGATTGTAAACAGCAATTACGGGAGAGAGAGTTAAGGTCCTGGTTCTTGCTGGTTACACCACCTGACTCAGGCTATCAGCCTACCGAGAAAGGTAGCCCTTGGGTTTGTAAGTCATTACCCCTCTGGTGCCCACTACGTGGGCAGCTTATTATACAGTGGCCAAGGCCCAAATCATCAGAAAGCCTGTTTGAGAAGCTCATGTCAAGAGAGAAAAACCATCCCAGCCCACTGTTTCCTTCATCCATTCTCTTCTATACTTTTTCCAGCATAGCACCAGGTTTTCACATAGTCGGCAGTTTTGGAGGTGACATAAACGTTCATAGGAATAACCAAGCAGAAAAGTGGCCTGCCCAACTTTTCAACTCATTACAGGCAAAAGACTGAGACTTTGTACTCAGTCTCCTGATTTCCAGCATCATGTATTACCAAAATAGTTCTCCCCTCCCCCTAAGATGCTTTTTAAATGAATAATATTGGATGATCAATACTGAACTGTATAATCCCATTCACCTTTATATATTTTTTCCACTTAGTTTTCACAGCAAACATGTGTCCCAAGGTAAACAATATTATCTCCATTTGATAGATGAGGAAATAAAACAGAGACCCTTGTTTATGACTGAGACCCTTTTGTTTATAACATAGATCCAGGATCCAGCACAGACCGTGTGTGAGGAAGTCAGTCTGAAATGAACGTTGTGAGTTTTACAAGGGCCCGCTTGCGCTGTGTCCAGTCCGAGTCTGCACGATGCAAACACACGAGCTGTAAATGCTTCTTGATTTTCAGAGTCTGAGGGCGGTGGTTTAGAAGAAAGAATCACAGCCTCAAAGAACAATCTTTTTCTTTTTTCCAGACTTCAAATGAAACAAGCTTCGGTTTCTGTGATCTGTATAATACCAGTAAGATTTCTTTCTTTTTTTTTTTTATCTTCACCCGAGGACATTTTTCCATTTTTTGTTCAGATAGAGTGGGAGGGAAGGAGGAGGGGGAGAGAGAGAGAGAAACATCGACGTGAAAGGGACACATCGACTGGTTGCCACCCACACGGCCCAACCAGGGCCAGGGACAAACTGCAACCGAAGTATGTGCCCTTAGTGGGAACCGAACCGGGTCTCTCTGGACTGCAGACCAATGCTCTAACCGCTGAGCCAAACTGGCCAGGGCAATACCAGTAAGATTTCTCACACCAAACAACTCATATGATAAAGATGGCATATGTCATATTACTACTGAAAACCTGTAGCTAAAACCAATTACAAGTGGACTCAGAGATCTTGCAAAGTGTTGTGAAAGGTGCCCTGGTGAGCACCAGGCAGGGGGTGAAATCTGATTTCAGACCCCCTGGAAGTGTGAGCACGGGGCTCTGAATTTAGATGAAACCATTTCCTCCTGCAACAGAAAACTGGTCTGTCATGATTTTAGGTGGCTTGTAACTCAATGAACAGGAAATAGGTTGCTTAGATACATTAGTTCCAGATTATCTGAGGAAGTAGCAACATACCAAGCACAATTTTGATTACAATGAACCTCTCTTTAGTCTTGACTATTGTCTGAACATGTCCACATTCTAAGAAAGTCCCTTTCTTATTAATTATTTTTTCACATGCACAGAACAAATCGAACTGTTCTGGAAATGATGTCATTTTAACTGTTCTAAAATGAAATGTGCAAAAAGTTCTCCTGGAAGGCCTTTGGTTCAGAGAAACAGTTGATACGATCTATTATTCATCAGCAATTTCTAATTCATGTGTCATGCAGCAATGCCATTTTATAAGTGGAATGTAATCTAACTTGCCAATTTCCAAGTTAGAGCCTTCCTGTTTGCATAGTTTCCACACCTGTAACCCATGGGATTCTCTCTCAATGGAGAGGAATCTCTAGCTCCCGGTTTTATAGCGAAGTGGTAGGGCAGAGTGATTCAGAATCCAGCCGTCTGGGCACAAATCCTGGTTGCATCATTTATTAGCAATGTAAGCACATTAGTCCACCTTTCTGAGCTTCGATGTCCTCGCACCTGAAACATGAGGCTTGATTTAAGAATGAGATGATATAGGCTTCTGATGAAAGCTCTGGCCGAGTCCCCTCTTGAAACCATACTAAGATGACAGGGGGGAGATTTTTACGATGAAAGGCATAATTCCACAAGGACAAAGAGAACAGAAGACAACAGCAACATACTTCTGAAAGTCAGCAGGCAGGCAAACGTGCGGTAGGGATCCACGCTGAGAAAGCTGAATCCTAAGCCCGAACGCAAAAGGCCCCAGACCAACCCGGTTTGCACACACCAGTCGGTGCCCACAGAGGGGCTCGCAGCGGGAATGAGGGTAAGGCTGGGCGGTGGTGTAAACATGGCTGGAAGGGCTGAAGTGGATTCACGCAGGTACGTGGAGTACATCTGATTCTGAGGGAGACTCCCAGGGTCAGGGATGACCTAGACAAGCTTTGGTGTGCATCAGTCACCTAGAGAGTTAACAGAAACTAATGTGTCTCACAGGGGCATAGCAAAGGTTTAGTTACAAAAACAAAACCCCAAAACCAGAACCCTCAAGCTTTCTCCCTACTAAGTCTCAGGGTGCCTCTGGATTTAGTGATTGTATAGGCTGTGATCATAGCTCTAGACTGCATATACATTTCAACTTCATACCTATGGAAGGTAACAGATTTAATTAATGGATAAAACTAAAAAAAAGGGGGGGGGGGACCCAAAGAGAACATGCCATTTTCTTGGATTGAAGTAGAGAAAAAAAGCGCCATAAAATTGCTGTAAACCTAACAGGTAAGAAGACGGTTTAAAGTCTGGAACATTTAGTTTTCCAAAATCAGGTTTGCATGGGACACTAAAGAGGATGGGAGGACATGCTCTGGTCTTACAGTAAGAACAGAAGCAGTACAAGAGAGATAATAAATACTTGATGACTTGCTACGGAACACAGGCATCTCCTTAAGAAGACGAGATCTTAGATGACAGACTGGACATATATGAAGGGCAGAGGAGGTTGTGAAGACCAGGGTAGAACAAAGTACAAGGAAAAGGGAGAGGTGCCTAAAATTATTCTTCAAGTGAGCATTACAAAAATGGGGAGGCACTAAGCTATTCCTCAGTTAGAGAGCAGGATGGGACCCAAAGCGATCCAAATGAGGAAGAGGCAAAACCAGAGGACAGAACGCAAGAACTTCCCTTCGGGGATCCTAGGCCCGGAAAACAATGAGAGATGTGATTGATAACCTGCAGATAAAGAGCCCGAGAAAGAGGATTTGGGACAGCTACACCCAGAGGGATCAGATTTAAAGGAGAGCA